TCTCTCTCTCTCTCTCTCTCTCTCTCTCTCTCTCTCTCTCTCTCTCTCTCTCTCTCTCTTCCGGGTGAGACTAAGAGCTTGAGGTAGACAACTGTGGTCTTGGTAGGTTGCATTATGTTGCTCTTTCCACGACATTTCATGCAAGCAAACTTTCCCTCAACTCTTCTGCCATGTGACTGTTGCATCTCTCATCACCTTCGTCTCTCAGGCTGCCGGAAGACTCATCACAGTGCTGGAAGGTCTTATGTGACTCCAGCCTCCCGACCCAAACTATAGAGGGATGGAAGTATAGAATAGTAGATGTTTAAACTATAAGTGATGATTAACTGTGATTTACGGCCGCTGCTACACACACACACATACATACACACACACTCTACACTACAATGGTCCGCCTCGTTGGCTCTACACTGAAGCAACACTACACCTACGCTAAGATGCCCTGACCCTCGACTTAGTATAGTGAGTCAACACACACACACCACAATAGATATGTTATTTTTATAGACTGTCATCACTGTTTTAGTCGTTCGTAAAAAGCTGTTTATTCTGGGCTACAAATTGTTTACGTTTTTAGAATTAAGGTCAATGGTACTTAAACTCATTATTAAACGTTAGTAATTGACCTTGTATCATGATGACCCGAAGTAGCATAAAGACCAAGCTTGAACAGGCATGGTGAAGGACCTTGTTAGGGAAGGTTAGAAAGGCCAAGGCGTTGACTCCTAGATAGATATTGCATCATACACTCGATTATGTTAATTGGTACAGACTCACTGTTGTATTTTTTTCATTTTTTCTTCACATAATTAGATCATGAGTCAAATATTTCACCACTTTACAAATAGTGGTGAAGGCCACTAAGGGAGCGGTGATATAAACAGAGTAGTGGCGTAGGTGGTGGTGACCTTCCCGCTCTCTAGTCTGGTAAACAACATTTCCTACATACTGGGTCGTCGCCCTGTTGTGTAGGTCTTGCTTTACATCCTGTGCTTCAACAACTGAGGTATATAAGCGTGTGCACTAAGTCCCTTCACACACTAGCCAATAACTAGTAATAAGGTTACAGTATACAGTATATTTACATACTGTCAGTTAACCTCACACCGCGATGGATAATTTTTGAAAAACAATATTGATCGATACCTGAGCTTATTGATGTGAGTGTGGCGGACCAAATAAGTGAGGAAATGTGATTAAACGTGAAGAGAAAAGCTGGCTGAGGGAACGAGGAACAGTCGGATACGTGCCAGCATCTACCGCTCGTCCGGGACCATTTTGGCGCCAATTTTGGTAGAGCGAGTGTGATGTCAGAGGGGTGTACGCGGCTGATACTGTTTGGGTGATAGTGCCTGAGATCTCATCTTAACTCCTGGTATCTGGGCAAAATTTACCGAGGGAATGTTGCTCTAAGCCTTTACTTGATCAAATCGTGACACACACACACACACACACACACACACACACACACACAGCATCTTCAAGTGTTTGTGACATATTTACAGTGGCTCAGTTATTACCAAACACCGCACGTCGTTGTAATAGGTGCGACCCTTCGTCAGTAGCTCGCAGAACAGAACCTCACGTCACTGTAGGTGTTCAGTAGGTAACGACCCTCCTTCAGTAGCAGGCAGCAGGGACCTACACTCATGACAAGCAGTGTAGGGGCAGGTAGAGCAGATGGTGACACAATATGGTGATAGTGGTGTATTGCTACTGGTGATGGACTGGTGGTGACTGGTGAAAAGGATGGTTGCAATAGTGGTGATTGTATTGAGGGCTGCGTGGGCTTAAGGGGGTCTCCGTGGGTTTAAGGGTACCATTGGTTTAAGGGCTCCATGGGTTTGAGGGCTCCATGGGTTTGAGGGCTCCATGGGTTTGAGGGCTCCATGGGTTTAAGGGCTCCATGGGTTTGAGGGCTCCATGGGCTTAAGGCCACGTCAGGTTAAGGGTGACAGGGTCCGTCCAGTAATCAATAGACTTCGGGTACATTATCAGTGCTTATGTCCGTCTGTGTCGAGGGGAGAAACTTGATGGATAGGTAAACATACTGCACCACGGGACAGTGACACCACAGGCAGTGCGGAGTGACACCACGGGGCAGTGACACCACGGGCAGTGACACGGGACGGGACAGTGACACCACGGGGCAGTGACACCACGGGGCAGTGACACCACGGGGCAGTGACACCACGGGGCAGTGACACCACGGGGCAGTGACACCACGGGCAGTGACACCACGGGGCGGGGACAGTGACACCACGGGACAGTGACACCACGGGGCAGTGACACCACAGGACAGTGACACCACGGGACAGTGACACCACGGGACAGTGACACCACGGGCAGTGACACCACGGGCAGTGACACCACGGGGCAGTGACACCACAGGACAGTGACACCACGGGACAGTGACACCACGGGGCAGTGACACGGGGCAGTGACACCACGGGACAGTGACACCACGGGACAGTGACATCACGGGACAGTGACACCACGGGGCAGTGACACCACGGGGGGCAGTGACACCACGGACAGTGCCACGGGACAGTGACACCACGGGGCAGTGACACCACAGTGACACCACGGGACAGTGACACACACGGGGCAGTGACACCACGGGGCAGTGACACCACGGGGCACTGCTGACTGACTGACTGACTGGGTGGTTGAGTAAATTATTAACATGAGTCTGTTCTGGTTCTCCATAGAGGACCAATGACAGCCTTACCCAGTGTTAAGACGGTTAGGACGGTTAGGACAGAGTTAAGACAGTGTTAAGACGGTTAAGACAGAGTTAAGACAGTGTTGAGACGGTTAGGACAGTGTTAGGACGGTTAGGACAGAGTTAAGACAGTGTTAAGACGGTTGGGACAGTGTTACTACAGAGCTAGGACAGGGTTTGGACAGAAGAGAACTAGGGTCACATAGGACACCTTCACACATCTTACACATGACCCAAGAGGCAACGGGGACCGGTGGTAGAGTGGTACCGTTCTTGCCTCGCAAGCGAGATGTCACGGGTTCGATTCCCGGGCCAGTGGAAGTTGTTTGGACATATACTTCCTAGCCCCCATTAGTCCCTGTTCACCTAGCAGTAAAGTAGGTACCTGTTGTAAGTCGAAAGTTGCGAATTCGTATTCAGGGAGTTGTTGGAGCTTCCAATAACTTGATGACATAAACCATTGACTCTTCAGGCTTCTACGCCCTTGACTCTTCAGGCTTCTACGCCCTTAACTCATGAGACATAAAGGCAAGCATGAACTTAGCATGCTTCCCTGTTGGGCGCTGTAAACGCTTCTGCGCTTCACCTTACACAAGGATGTAGGAGAGTGCCCAATAAAAAAAAAAAAGAGGCAACTGAAGACTGTAGTCGCTGTAGTGAAGGTCAAGAGACGCTAAACCTGCCTACTGTACGGGGCCCTGACAGCTCTGTACTGTACGGGGGCGGGGGAGACACGCGTAGAGTGAGGTGACAGATAAAGAGAGTGTAAAGTTAAGGAAATAGAGAGAGAGACAGACAGACATAGAGCGAGCGAGAGAGAGAGAGAGAGTGAGCGGTTGCGTGTCCCCCGGGGGCCCCCTCCCACACACACACACACACACACACGCACACCGTGAGTCGGATATAACCAGTACAAACCAGTTACACTGTCAGCCGGACCCGGGAAAGTTTCTCTCTCTCTCTCTCTCTCTCTCTCTCCAGCACACACACACACACACACACACACACACACACACACACACACATACACACACACATTAAGTAAACTCAGGTAAGTGCAGTAAAATATTTATCGAAAATCAATACCTATGTGAGATAAAAGAGACCTACGTGAAGGAAGGAAGGAAGGAAGGAAGGAAGGAAGGAAGGAAGGAAGGAAGGAAGGAAGGAAGGGGGAAGAGTAAGAAGGGAAGGAAGAAAGGAGGAGGGAAGGAATAAAGAGGGGGGGAAGGGAAAAGAGGGAACGAAGGAAGGGAAAGGAGGGGACGATGAAAGGGGAAGAATGAAGGCAGGAAAGGAGAGGAAGGATGATAATGGAAGGAAGGAAGGAAGGATGATGATGATACTCTTTAACCAGTGAAGAGGAGGAGTGGTGAAGCAGCTTTAAGTGTGTCGACGGAGGCCACTGCCACCACTACTGCTGATGGTGGTAGTGGTGGTAGTGATGGTGGTAGTAGTAGTAGTGGATGGTGATAGTTGTGGTTGGTGATAGTGGTAGTAGTAGCAGTAGTAGTGGTTGGTGATAGTGGTTGGTGATAGTCGTAGTCCGTGGACAAAAGTTTCTGTGCTAGTGAGTCAAGGTCAAGACCAGTCTGGCTCTTACTGTACAATGAAGTCTTCTTAATTGTCGTCTAAACTAATTTGTTATTACTATGATAATAACTTCTTCCACACACACACACACACAGTCACACACACACACACACACAGTCACACACACAGTCACACACACACACACAGTCACAGTCACACACACACAGTCACACACACACACACACACACACAGTCACACACACACACAGTCACACACACACACAGTCACACACACACACAGTCACACACACACACACACACACACAGTCACACACACACACACACACACAATCACACACACACACACACACACACACAGTCACAGTCACACACACACAGTCACACACACACACAGTCACACACACACACACACAGTCACACACACAGTCACACACACACACACACACACACACACAGTCACACACACACACAGTCACACACACACACACAGTCACACACACACACACACACACACACACAATCACACACACACACACACACACAGTCACACAGTCACACACACACACACACAGTCACACACACACACACATACACACACACACACAGTCACACACACACAGTCACACACACACACACACACACACACACACACACACACACACACACAATATCTTAACGTGAAAATGTTTGCCAAGGCGCTCAGATCATTCCTATGTTGCAGGCAGTATGACCCGTGTGGATCTCTCGCTGGTCAGCACGACAGGGGAGGTAATCGGTGAACACAAGCCCAGCGAACACGTGGAGCCTCAGGAACCTCACCCTAAGTCCCTCTTGCTGGACCCAGAAGCCCACCAGCCACACCCTCTACAGGAAGGTACGCACGTCAAACTGGTCTGCATATGATACGAAGATATATAGAAAACTTGTTTATACTCTTGTGAGGTATCCTATTTCACACACACGCACACACACACACACACACACACATGACTGGCAGCAGGTCTGGTTGGCAACTGATCATACAAAAACTGAACGTCAGACTTACGATAAATTACGAGATTATTTATTTTTCTTTTTTTTCGTCTTTTCTTTTTTTTTTTCTTTTTTTTTTTTACTGAATAATATACTGTAAACACCGACGCCTGTATGACATTATCCCCGGTACACTTGACAATGAATGCATGATAAAGTTTGGTTAGGTCAGGTTGTTATAATAGATACGAGGTTGGATTAAGTTGCAGTAGAGACAAATGGACAGACGGTAGATAATATTATGAATGTTATGTTTCTCTCGTGGCCGCAGGAGGATGTTGGCAGGTGCGGTACACGTTTGCTATCCTGGGTCTGGTGGGGATAGCTCTCATGTACGCTATGAGGGTCGTCCTCTCCATTGCTATCGTCGCCATGGTGGGCAGCAGGTCTCACCACCACCACTCTAACACCACCACCACCACCACTGAGGAACTGGCCAATGTCTGTCCTAATCCAGACACCAACGCCACCAATAAGGACAATCTCTTGGTATGTTGTCTCCATCTCTCCACCATCACCACCATACCCACCACCACCACACCAGCACCTCACCACCACACCACCACCTCACCACCACACCACCACCACACCAACAACACACCAACACCACACCAGCACCACACCAAAGGACATATCATCAGCATAGAGACGAATATATCAAAAAATTTTGTGTGCTGGTGGACTTGAGTCAAGTGTTTTTAATCTTTTTTATCTGAGGAACACCGAGTACTTTATCTTAGACGGTCTGTTTGATAACTGTGAACGAGGAGTTCATTTTTTTTCAATTTAAATTGTTTATTCCTTGATAGAGGAAGCGGAATCTTAGTGCTGTCACTAGGTACCACTGCACAATGACACCAGAAGCATCTGGCAAGTGTGACAAGTATATACAGTATAAATATTATAAAGGGGCTTACTAAAGCCTAAGGAAGGAAGGAAGGATATTCCTTTAACACATAATCAATGTTATTTACAAAATATCTGGCCATTATGGGGAGGATCATCGTGTCTCCGTCAGGGGGTCGTGGAGTGGGGCAGGCGTCACGGAAGCGTTGTGTGTGGGGACATCTTAGGAGGTAGTGGATAAGGGTGCGGCTGTCGGGTCTTCTGCATAATGCACAAGAGCGTTGCTCAGGGGATGCGGGGATACCAATCTCCCAAGCAAAGTCATACCCAATGATGATACGGGCAGCAATCACGTCCCCTTTCCGCGACCCTTTCCCATAGACGTACGAGAGGTAACGAGGAGTTACAATCTAATGCTCACGAGGATTATCAACGATTTTTTAAAACTATTTCTAGATCACTGGCAAAGCTAATCAAGGAACCCAATTATGTTCATCGTCAATATGCCAACACGTCTGATCATTATATTCCCTCAAGCTGTGATTAATCCTGCAGGAGGGAGAGTTCGACTGGGACGAGACCATGCAGGGGGTGATCTTGGGGTCGTTCTTCTGGGGGTACATCGTGACCAACATCCCTGGGGGGCGGGCGGCTGAGTACCTGGGCGGGAAGATGGTGTTCGGGCTGGGTATTGTCCTGTCCGCCATTCTCACCATCCTCACCCCCATCTCCGCCAGGTCTTCTACCCCTCTCCTCATAGCCGTCAGAGTCCTAGGAGGTGTTGTTCAGGTGAGTCTTGTTACTGCCCAGGTGAGGGAAGTACCTTAAAACCTATCATCATTATTATTATTATTATTATTATTATTATTATTATTATTATTGGTGGTTAAACAGCTATGATTATAATTTATACCAGTAGTTAAACTCCAGCAGAAACAAGTGACAAGAATGACGTGTCGGCGGGGGATAAAGTGTGTGTGGGCGGAAGTACTACTGCCCTTACCTCACATCACTGACTTGTCTGCCCCCCTACACTGCCCCCCCACTGCCCCTCACTACCCCTACACTGTCCTCACTGCCTCACTGCCCACTGCCACTACCCCTACACTGCTGCCACCCCACTGTCCTGCCCCTACCCACTGCCCCTCACTACCCCCACTGCCCTCTGTCCATCACTGTCCCACTGCCCTCACTACCCCTCACACTGCCTCCAACTACCTCTACACTGCCCCTCACCACCCCCCACACTGTCCATCACTGTCCTTCACTGCCCCTCACCTCCCACTGCCTCCCCACTACCCTACACTGCTCCCACCACCCTACTACACTACACTGCTCCCACCCCACTGCTGCCTCACTGCCCCACTCCCCCATTGCCTCATACTGTGGTACTAACGCGCTTATTCGTGTATTAGTGTAGTACTATAGCGGTTGTCTGTGTTTATCTGTTCCTTTATAATAAGTTACACCGCTCTGAATATCTTGTGCATTGTTCTATCTCTCTCTACGAATACCTGTGGTCACCTGAAGATTAGCCCCCCACAGTTTACTTAACCTAACCTAACCTAAACATCTTTACACTAACCAACCCCAACTTAACCTAACCACACCACACTAACGCTAACCTAGCCATCCTAAAACTAACTTCAAGCAACTTAACCTAAACGAAACTTAACCTAACCACACCACACTAACGCTAACCTAACCATCCTAAAACTAACCTAAACGCAACTTAACCTAAACGCAACTTAACCTAACCTAAGCACCTTCAGGTATAGCTTTTGGGGGTTAGTTAATCATGAGGTGAAATAAACTTATAGAGAGAGAGATGTGTTAATCTATACGTTACCCCCTCAATTGGTCAGCTTCAAGGAAAGTTACGCATCTCTCTTAAAGTCTCAGCCTTCGTGAAAGTCAACAAACAAGTGCTCTCATGTTGGCTGGTGACGGACGCTCCCTCCCTGGTCCATAAACTCTCCGGGGTCTGGGCGCCAAATTTCACCACACAACCTTTTCAAAATGTGGTTGAAATTTTATGTATTTTTTTATATTTATTTTTTAATGAATTTAGTTACAATAAATGAGATATCGAAAGCGTGTTGTTGTGTTGGTGATTATTTAAGTGTGTGTGTTTGGGTGTTTGTTACAGGGTGTGTTTGTGTACTAAAGACGGGTGTTTGTTACAGGGTGTGGTTTTCCCGGCAATCAACTCTATGCTGGCTACCTGGATACCACCAGCTGAGAGGAGCAGATACAACACTATTGTTTATTCAGGTGAGTACAGGTGTGTGGTGGTGCAGGTGTGGTGGTGAGGGAGGGTGGTAGTGAGGGAGAAAGGTGTTGTTGGAGAGAGGGAGGTGGAAGATGGTGGTGAAGGGAGGAAGGTAGTCGTGGTAGTGGTGAGGGAGGGTAGTCAACATACACAACAGGTGATGTAGATTCACCTGGGAATTATTAATTTATGTGTTTACCTTTCATACCTCAGTAAACACCTGTCCTTCTGATATAACTGTATTTGATTATTTTATCCTGAAGTTTAAGTTTAGTAAAGGTCGTGACTCATGCTATCTTACTCCTGACGGTGTTCCTCCTACAGGTTTCCCGCTAGGTACTGTGGTGTGTTTACCTGTGGGAGGGTGGCTGTGTTCCTCGGGCTTCCTGGATGGATGGCCGGCACCCTTCTACCTGTTCGGTGGGTTAGGCCTGGTGTGGGGCGTGGCCTGGTTCCTGCTGATACATGACCGCCCTGAGAGACACCCTAGGATCTCCGCCAAGGAACTGGCTCATATCCAGTCCTTCCAACAGGATATCAAGAGGGCTGAGGTATACACACACACACACTAACTTCCATTCTATAATCTTGGGTATCTGTTCTGACTTGATTAACCTAGGCAATTAGTATATAAAACTGTATATTTTTTTTACTCCCGTGTGACTATCTGTAAAAGTAGGTTATCACTATATTTTGATTTATAAAGGAATATTTTACCTGGGTGTAGTGTTAATAAATCTCACCTCCACTGTACACCTGTAAGTCTTGTTTTAGATTCAATATTCTATAGTTATCAACACTTTTGAGAAATTATTATTAAACATTCTTTGGCTAATCATAAATAATATTCTTTACAAAATATACCTTGTGTTTCATGATAAAATTCAGTTTGTAGAAGAAATTTAATTGGAGTCTGGAGAAACTAACAGCAGCTGCCATCACAGGTCGTTGCTCTGCCATGGAAGGATATCTTCTTTTCGCTGCCTTTCTGGGGGCTGATGGCTGGCGCACTCGGCTTTGACTTCGGCTTCTACACTCTACTGACAGAACTGCCCACCTACCTCAAGAACATCCAGCACTTTGATATGAGTGAGGTAGGTTGAGAGGTGAGGTAGGTTGAGAGGTGAGGGAGGTTGAGAGGTGAGGGAGGTTGAGAGGTGAGGTAGGTTGAGAGGTGAGGTAGGTTGAGAGGTGAGGTAGGTTGAGAGGTGAGGTAGGTTGAGAGGTGAGGAGGTTGAGAGGTGAGGAGGTAGGTTGAGAGGTGAGGAGGTTGAGAGGTGAGGGAGGTTGAGATGTGAGGTATGTTGAGATGTGAGGTAGGTTGAGATGTGAGGTAGGTTGAGATGTGAGGTAGGTTGAGAGGTGAGGGAGGTTGAGAGGTGAGGGAGGTTGAGAGGTGAGGTAGGTTGAGGGGTGAGGTAGGTTGAGAGGTGAGGTAGGTTGAGAGGTGAGGTAGGTTGAGAGGTGAGATAGGTTGAGAGGTGAGGGAGGTTGAGAGGTGAGGGAGGTTGAGAGGTGAGGGAGGTTGAGAGGTGAGGTAGGTTGAGAGGTGAGGTAGGGCCATTAACCAGATGTAGGGTGAGGGAGGCAGGGCAGCTGGTCAGGGAGTGGTGACTAGCGGGAGACAGTGTTGTGTTAGGTCAACTAATATAAACACAGGATTTAAGATGGTCAGTTGATGTCTCTATTGCAGGAACTGAAGCTGAGTTTAAGTTATGTTTTGTAGCTTACAGTACTGTATTGAGTTTATTAATAGATTATTACGAAACACCAGAGATAAGGTAAGATAAGGCTAGAGTGACTCAGAAATAATAAAAGTCAGAGTTTTCTTTCAGATTTGAGTGACTACCGTTACTCCGAATCAATGTTGCTCGCTTTATTGCCATCCTTTACAACACTTTACAAATATTACTTCTATATTCTCCTTATGGTCTTCTGGAATATATTATAACATTTACTATAATCTATGATAAATTCTTCGTAAATTAACACATTGACTGATACTCCATGTTGTCTCTCTCCTCTAGAACGGCCTCATGTCATCGCTCCCCTTCCTGGCTATGTGGCTGTGGGGTTACTTGTGGGGCTCTATCATGGACCGACTCACAGCTGCTCACAAACTTTCCATTCTCAGCATCCGTCGTCTCTCCATGGCGCTGGGTAGGTGTTGTGCAGAGGGAAATAGAGAGAGAGAGAGAGGATGGATGGCAGAGAGAAAGGGATCAAGAGAGAGAAAGAGTAAGAATGTAAGAGAAAGATTGAGCAAAAGAGAGAGAATGTAAAATAGACAAAGTGGAAGAGATAGAGAGAGAGAAAACAAAAGAGGAGCGCGTCAATAATATCCTAATAATAAATCCTGATGAAGAAAATATAGAACACTTTCCTCGTGTCACCTTAGAGGGTTAACATAACACTTGTCTTGCAGCGATGTATGGACCGATGTTGGGGCTCGTGGTGATGTGTTTCGTCAACTGCAACACAACGCTGGCCATGGTGGTGCTGTGTGTGGCTGTGGGGGTCGGTGGTAGTGGTAATTGTGGTTTCCTCTGCTCTCACCAAGATCTGGCACCCAATTTTGCTGGGACGCTCCTGGGCTTCACCAATACTCTGGGGTCTTTCGCTGGCATCTTTGCTCCCATGATTACTGGACGCATCACTGAAGGAAATGTAAGTACTGTTGAGGAGGAGGAAGAGGAGCAGGAGGAAGAGGAGGAGCAGGAGGAAGAGGAGGAATAGTAAGAGGAGGAGCAGGAGGATAAATAGCCTTCCTTTGGGTTATGTGTTAGTAGTATATTCCTCCTTCTGCTGCCCCTTTTACAGCATATATCTAACCACGCCCCCGCCTCTTACTGTACAATATATACCTAACTACGCCCTCCTTTTTATACTGCCCTTTCTTTTATAGTGTTAAATATAGCCACACAACATTAATAACTTATTCAATAGTTCTCAACCTCTCTCAGGCTCTCCTTCATACTGTCAAGGAACATCAATACAAGGACTGAACCTTCTTAGTCGTGTTTTAAGTTCTTGTTGAGTCTTTTATAATTATTATGTTAATGCCATCTACTGTTTACACAATGACTCCAACTATATCTTCAGTATTTCCCTCCAAGATCTGTTTTTGGGGTTCATGTCTTGTTCAACCTTCTTCTTCTTCTTGGTTTTTATTATTCTTCTTGCTCCTTCTTCCTTTCTTCTTCTTCCATCTTCTTGCTCCTTCTTTTCTTCTACCCTCTTCTTCAACATCTTTATCCATCTCAGTATCTCTCTGTACGATGCTCACTTGTTTGTTTATCCTCATCTCTCACACTGTCTTGGTCCCTGCAGCAAACCCTGAGCGCCTGGAGGATGGTGTTCCTCATCACGGTGGCCATGTACCTCGTCACCAATACTCTCTACATTATCTTCATATCCAACAACGTCCAACACTGGAATGAACCCAAGACGAATAAAGGTAAGTAACTTGGTGTGTATGTAAGGTCTTGGCACTCTTACTCATTACTCCAACACATGAAGAGGGCTGACACATCCTCACTCTCCACTCCAGCACATGCGAATAGCTGACACATCCTTACTCACTACTCCACCACATGAGGACAGCTGACACACCCCTCACTCACTCCACTCCACCACATGAGGACAGCTGACACATCCTCACTCTCCACTCCAGCACATGAGGATAGCTGACACATCCTTACTCACTACTCTAGTACATTATAACAGCTGACACACGCTGACAATGCTTCATGATGTGCCACTGTCAGCTATGCATAAGTTAGGTACCTCCTCTTACATAAAGGTGTCTTGTTTATAATTAATATTTCATACCTGAATTATAATTATCTCCCACTCGTCTACATCACGTTATATAGGACTCATAAGACTCACATAATATATCATTAAGTTGTTTATGAGTCTAACTATTACTTAACCGAAGCTTCCCTCTGCTCTTAACGTCATTAACTCCTAAACAGATTTATTTCATGTAACTAATTTCATCATTGATCATCTTACAGAAGGCGTGGAGTACAACACAAGCCTGGAGACACGAGTGGCGCTGGTCCCAGATGACACCAAAGACACCCTGGTGCTGGAGAGTGACCGTGAAGAGTGTTAGGTCAGTGTGTGTGTGTGTGTGTGTGTGTGTGTGTGTGTGTGTGTGTGTGTGTGTGTGTGTGTGTCAAGGGACTTCTAGATATGTAGAACTCATATTCATCTTATCGTGAGTCATTTGTTTTCGTCACTCATCATCCATACATAGTGATACGTACAGTAGTGTGTTGAGCTTCATCCCGGCACAAGGATACATGTTCTTTACCATATCTATAACGTTAAGGTATATCAAGAATGTGTCAGGCACAAGCTCAGATGATAGGAAGCCTCCAGCGTGTAGTGGTAGTGTTGCTGAGTGAACGTGTTGCCGTGACGTAATGTAGAAAGTAGGATCACTTATTATGCTTCCAAAGATTGTGTCCTGACAGGTGTACAGCTACAGGGACACCATTATGTATTCTTGCTCCTCTACACCTGTACTAGGGATCTATAGTGAGCTTATTACAGTATTCAGGTTAAGGATAGTGGTGCTTACAGTATCAGTAGATGGCTGACCAGCTTACTGTAGTGATAAAATGAAAATTTATATGTTAGGAATTACTACACTGCCACAGTCTAGTGTAGCAGTGTGTGTGTGTGTGTGTCACGAGATGTGTCACCCAGACGACACAATCACCACCAGGAGTGTCACCCAGGCGACGCCTTCACCAGGGTAACCAGGCACGACCCTCCTGTAGTTCGCTGGACACCATTACTTCCACTGAAAAATTATCCTCCAGTCAATGTTATGATTTCCGTGGATATTCATACACTGTTCTTCCTTGTTCTTCACACATTGTTATTCTTTGTTCTTCAACACATTGTTCTTCCTTGTTCTTCATCATTTATAAGCCCACCATATAGTGTAGCTTAGTATGGACAAAATATCAATAGTTACGTGGGTTATGGCGTTACGTCTTCTGTCACAACCCTTCTGTTCACTGTGTTACCTGTACAGAGATGCTAGGTGGTGTGTGGTGGTGGGGGTCTAGTGGTTTGTGATCAATGTTCTACGACACATTCTACACTACACCACTCTATAACATACTCTACACCACACTCTCTAACATACTTTATACCACACTAAAACACCTCTACCACACACACTACAACACACACTACCATACTATCTAAGACACGCTACCACGCACTCTACAAACACACTAACTAACAGACTTTAGAGGTTGTACTGTATAACCTGTTTATACCTAAGGAACCTATAAATTAATATAGCTTTTGATATACTATGATATATAAAATAGCTAAACATATACACTACCAGTTATTTATGCCAGAGTGTTAAGGAAGGTAAAGCAAATTTTATGCTGTGTTGTCCTTCATAGTGAATTAGACACAGAAGTTTTTTTCATGTAATAGTTTGGTAAAAGATCATGGAAATTTTTATTATGAATGGATATTGAGGTGATAAGAGCTGACATTGTTGGCTTATGACTTTACCCTCATTGAGAACTGTATTTGGCGATTGTTTCTCTGGTTTATAATACCCAATATCCTCTTCCTAAGAGTTTGTACTACGTGATTACTGTATATTTTGACCTGATGTGTTTATGTGTGAGGTCATTCACTGTGTCTGTACTTGTTTTCCTGATGTTGAAATATTCCTTCAAGACCAACTTTTTCTTTGAGGGAATGTTTTTTGTTTTTTTTAACATGACACTTTATTTCAGTAAGTTCAGTTTGTTTCCTATTTAAAGATGTTTATACCTGTATCATAAAACATTTTCACACCTGAGTACACCTTGATAGTTAACATTCGTCTGATTCTAATGTTTGTTTACTCATCTCACCTGATGTAAACATTTTGCCCTTAGAACAAAAAAATAGCTTCTCTCATGTTATATTAGAACCAGTAACAGTTGAGCATCGAGCAATGTTATTACAGCTTCCGGTAACATGTCTTCCTTAGTTCCGGTAATAGGAGCCTTTTACACATTGGAGCTGTGTTTAGTGGAGGAGGCACGTAGCGACAAACGCCACTAGTTTACGATGGTTGGAGGGCATTGTCACACATCCTCTACACCAGTGACCAAGACACTTACAGATCTTCACTTGGGGACCAACACTTGGGGAGGGAGGAAGGTACTGCTAGACACGCACACAATATATTAGTTAGGCAGAAGGGCTCGAAGTGTTTAGTTTATAGTGTAAAATATTCTTCACGTTCGAGACTTCACCTTTGGACATCGTTTCATGTTTTAGTGGAAGATGAAGTGTGTGTGCGTGTGTGTCGTGGACAGACTCCTACACGCCACATCTGGGGAGGGGGGGGGGTTCACAGGTAAATAATCTCGCTTTTTTGAGGTTAGTGTAATATTTCATGACCTTGTATAGTGGATGGTGATGTTTGCCTCTGCGTCAGGTGAGTCTGTCTTAACACGTCTGTCATATGTGAGGAATTTAGGACAGCCCAAAAACTGAACATACTTAGAAATAAAGCTCTTGTGTTTCAGTATAGAATGTATAGTAATTACTTTTGTTTTAAGTGAAGGTAATATAAGTTCTTTTTGCCTTGAATTCAGGCGGACGAGTCAGAGATCAAGTTAAAATATACTTCTTTTTCCTGTCGTTCATCAGGTGGTAAAAATACTGTATTACTTTCTTAGTGTAGGAATATATTGACACCGTGGTAGAACATGTTTGTGCTGGTAACATGAACAAAGTGCCAAAGGTGAAAATGGTGTGATCAATATAATTATAATGGATAAATGTTCTTTGTTTTTTACTACTTGTTGAAGGTAAAGATCTGAGGCAGGTGACAGACAATGACAGTCTTGGTCGCCAGGTGTTAGGTTAAGTAATAACGAGAAATTTTTATACACAACAGTTCTGAGTAAAATACCCATTAAAGTATTTGTGAATAATGTAATTTTTTATGCTTAAGCAGAACTCACTCATGGTCTGATTAAAAACAAAAGCGTGTTACTACAGAGTTGATGATAATGTATGTGTGTGTGTGAAGTGTGATAGTTTGGTTACGTTGATTAGTGTGGTGAAGGGGCAGCGGTCTCTCGAGTAGTGTTTGTGACCAAAACCCATCAAAGTAGTGGTATAGTGAGTGAGGTGCCCTTGTCAACGAAACTCATCCTTGTAATTTTAAAACACTCCTTTCCCTTGGTGGGAGCCTTAGTGTTGACAGCGCTCGACAGGGAGATGTGGCTGTAAAACTAAATTATATTATTGGAATTAGTTCGTTTTACCGCCACACCTCCCCGTCGAGCGCTGTAACGAGGTGGTCTTGGCGTCGACGGAAAGGTGTGTTTAAAACTATACGTGAGTCACCCTCTTGGCCACAACTAAGTGAAGATTAACTAGTGTCTGATGGCTTTATTAAGTTTGGATAGTTTATGGTTGTAAGATATGTATATTTTTTATTTAGGGGGGGGAGGGAACCCTTTGTGAATATATATGATTATTTTTTAAAAGATTTGATAAAACATTGCGAATTACTGTGGCTTCGTATGCAACCCACTCATGTGACTCTGACAATATGACCATTTCACTAATGTATATAAAATTGACCAAGAAATATAATTGTAGATATAGAATATATACTAAATCAATTGTTTAGTTTTTATTGTCATCCTTCATACGTGTTAAAAGACTGGATAAGGGCTGTATTAACTGTAGCAACGCGTCCTGGTGAAAAGGTTCTGTCAGTCAGTCAAGGTGTGACCATTTTCTTGTGAGCTGTAGGAGATTGTATGCTGTGTGAGACTGGCTGATAGATTGGTTGACTGAGTGATTGAATGACTGGGTGACTAGCTTAGTTGTCTGACTGGTAGACTGGTTGTTTCACTGATTGGTAAACAACATGGGCGTCGATATTGTAATGTTAACACTCCCCTTCAACAACTAAGGTCTTTAAGCAGGTAAGAGATGTTTTGGCAAATTACTTCATTTTTTGCTAAGTGATATAGATTTTATCATATTATATAGTTAAAGAGTTTAATAAATAATAATAAAACTATATCGGTCGTAATGGCACAGGATTAGACAGTGATTGTGTCGAGCATTGTGTAAACAAACCCCGCGGTGGCTGGTGCTGGACGGAGTTCGTGCTGAAAGGTAAAAGAAAACTTACATTTTAGATTGTTTTCTTTGCAGTCTTACATCCAGTTGACAAAGGGATTATTTATTTGTAAATATTTCTCAATATTATCGTCATATGGGAGGTTGACAGGTTGATTGGATGAGCGGCTCAAGCCCTCGCGTAGTAACTTGACACAGGTTCAGGGTCAAAATTTCTGTTGACATTTTGGTTCCATAATATTTACGTAAAAATCAATGTGCTTACGGGTTAACAATTGACTCTGAACAAAACCCAATTTTTTCTGAAACTTTTTCCCGAACCGAAATAGTTTCTGGTTTAAAATAAGAAAACAAGATTGAGATAGTAACTTTATTACAAAAAATATTGTGCGTAAAGATGAGCACAAAATTTGTACAAAATACTACCGTTCTAAACATTGTATATACCTAGATATACAGGCACAAAATTAAAAAATAAAAGAATGTACTTAATTTTACATAAAATTCATAGATATTAACATTTTACTAGAATCCTTATTGAAGTAGTTAACAAAACGCACATGCACGCACTACTACCCATCAACACACTCAACACACACACACACGCACACACATATATAGACATATCTACTTAACATTCTAACAATCTATTCTGTACTAAGTAATCTACATATTAATCATCGACAAACTCAGTCAGTAAATAAATCTATTCGTAAAATTTTAGCTCAATTAATGTATTATTATTATTATTATTATTATTATTATTATTATTATTATTATTATTATTATCTAGCATGTTAATGTATTTCTCGGTGTGTGTGTGTGTGTGTGTGTGTGTGTCAGTATACAGGTAGAGTCTGGTGTATACTTTGACGTAGCAGTGATCGCCCGGCTAGTCAGCTTACGTGGCTTTCCTTAGCACTTCTCCTGTTGGTAATTGAGGTGGAAGCCGCGGTTGTCGATGTCATCATTACCGAACTCTACCTCATTAGCTACCACCTTCGCCTGGAAACTGGTACCTGACGGAGTGATACAGTCAGTATGTTAAAATTATGAATTGATGATACTGCCTCCACTTCTCCTGAAATCTTGTGGCTCATTTTGAGGGAAATAATTCATTGTTTTCGTAAAATCAGGAAGGAACTCTACTGTACTCACTCGTGACGGATTCCGGGAACTGTGAGCCGCAGAAGACGCTGCTGGGGTCATCTTCATCAGGGATGATTCCCCCAGCAATGATGAGGTAGTCGGTGAATTCACAGAGTTCGTCAGTGCCGCTATCTGTGGGCGAGACATCACCAAGCTAAGTACTAATGTAACTCAAGCTCACGGTGAGGAATGTGCACGATGAGACTCTCCAACTGTGGGTTTACATACAAATTGACTATTGTGTATACTTCCAAAACATGTTTTTACGGGTCTCATACGGTCATAAAATATAAATAAAACAAACCTTATGTTTTTCTGTGAATCAACGCACAAAATTTACTGTTCGAGTTCTTTAATAATTACTGTATGAAGCAAACTGTGACTTAATCAAGCTTGTGTTAGTGGCGGAAAGTTAGATGGTGTTTATTTGTTATTTGAGGTTTGTTTCCTTTTGTTTTAAGATCACAGTATTTTCTAACTTATAACTATCTTAAAATCATCTAGTTATGATGTTCTTCTACCCATTTATTTATGTATCACTGGTCACTATAAATCCCACAACACTTCACTCTCTTTATCTGAAATTTGTAAACCGTAGCCCACCAGAACGACTCCCGCCTCTTCACGCCCTCATTGTTTGACTGAGATATAACATATACTTTAGTGCTAAATGTAAACAAACTCGATTTAGAAACCTTTGTTAAGGCTTTTTAGTGTAATTAGGGTTTTGGAGATGTCCTAAGGGTTTACCTAGAAGCGACTAGTGTGTAAGTTAGAGAGATGATAAGGTCTGAGACTTGAGGTGCAACAGTCTGTGTAGAAATGGAGAGTAACATAGAAAACGAATATCATACAAAATTATTTAGGGGAAGCATACACAGATAGATAGACTGATAGCAATTCAATTAAATCGCCATACAAGTTCATATTGGTTCAGTATATACATAGACAGTGAAGGTATACATTGCAATAGGTAATGCAAGTATACAAACATACAGGGTGGTCTAAAACTACCAAAAGTCCCTAACTTTTATCAACACAACCGTATTTTAAGTTACGAGAGTAATATTTAAAGACCTAAAAACCCGTATTGGAGCAACAGTTGCGAAAATTAACTCCCAATATGCTTCCAAATGTGTTTCGAAATACAATGGATAGGTTTGAGATTTGCAGTGACACGGATGGTGCTCACATTGAACCTTCATCCTAATGTTTATATAGGAATATATAAATCACATATACTGTACATATACATATAAATAGGGACTTCTGGACCACCCTGTAGGTAATTACATGTACTGTATACAAACAATGGGGAATATGACAGAAAACAAACGATCACAAGAACACTCACTAAACAACGGGAAGCCAGGTTTTTCTTTAAGGTTTCCAGTCATGGTGAAGGCGTAATCCTCGTTCTCTGCGGCCGTCCATTTGAGGCTGCAGTACCCGACCTCCTGACGCACGCATACCAGGTACGTCTCCTGCAGGTGGCGGCTACCTGTTTGGGTTTCAGTGCGTGTATACTCCTCAGGCGATACTCGTGACACTCATGACCACACAGTGTTATGTGAGCACCTACAGTATCATGTGAGCACCTACAGCATCATGTGAGCACCTACAGCATCATGTGAGCACCTGCAGTACCATGTGAGCACCTACAGAATCATGTGAGCACCTTCAGCATCATGTGAGCACCTACAGTATCATGTGAGCACCTACAGCATCATGTGAGCACCTACAGTATCATGTGAGCACCTTCAGCATCATGTGAGCACCTACAATATCATGTGAGCACCTACAGCATCATGTGAGCACCTACAGTATCATGTGAGCACCTACAGTATCATGTGAGCACCTGCAGTATCACGTTAGATAGACTGACCTCGGTAATCATTCTGCTGTAAGCGAGAGGACTCGGTGGTATCGTAGTTGAAGCTCTGAACTTCACCTTTGAGGCCCGTGTAGTACTGGGAGCACTCTGACGGCGCTGACGGAGGGAAGGTACAAGGTCAAAGCTCCCCAGTCATAGAGTGATTATTTGTGTTCATTCACAGGTTGGCGAGAGAAGACCGTATCCTCAGTTAAGTCAAAACCATTCATATTATCCAAAGGTTAGACACCGTACAAGACATGTGTTTACTTACCGAGGTCTGGTGAGTCACATCGCAGCTGCTCCACCTCGATTTCCCAGGAAGACATTGGGTTGTCTTGGGCGTTGACCACAGCCACCGTGAAGGGCCCATCGTCAGCCCGCACGTCCACATACACTGGCGCGTCAGTCACGAGGTATGATAATGAGCATAATATTTAATGTCTAAGAGAATATTAATACAAACATTTTAGTTTAAGAACTGTTACTTTGAATCCTCATGTTCTCATAAGTACACTCGATTTTCAAGGTGTGATAATTTCAGAGTTTAAGATTACAACTAAGATGCTGCATATTATCACAGGTAAGATACCTCACCTACCATACATACTGTTAAAAAAAGAACAGTTTAGTTGTCATGATTTAAATGACTACTAGATTCTTAAATTCTTACTGCACGTTAATATTCTCCTCCAGCCAGGGATGAGACTGCCTCAGACTGACTAATTAAGCTACGACACGAGGTATTGAAAGTGAAAAGGAATTACCGTGTCTGGGTGTGAGTTTTCCTTCTTAGTTACCGAGAGTAAAGATCTTACGAACCTTTGAAAGTCTGGTGTTAAGGTAAAGGTAATTGCTATTAAGAGGGACAATCACATGACTGAATTTATATAAGACTTTTTTTTATTGTATTACGAAAATAACAAAAATAGATGAGTCAAAATGGATGAATTTTGACCTAAAGATTAACTGTTGGATGACTCACTTGATAAGACCATAACTAACAACAAAACTGAGATGACAAAATTTTAGAATAGAAGAGGAATATAACAAACAGGAGATAAAGAAAGAATAAGAGATACCATACACGTGTCACTAAGTGTTACTGATAGGTCGCAACATCCTTCTCAATGTTGCAGTGGACTGATTCGCGTGATATATTAACAAGGAACATGATACAACACTCACGGTGCTGGCCGGTGTTGGTGCCACAGATCTTCGGGGAGGAACTGGTGACTCCCTGCACCTCCAGGTACTGATCCACACACTTCCCTTCAGCGTCGGGTTCACTCAGCTTAAGCTTCTTCATGTCCAGTCGCAGCTGTCGGGCGCAACACAAGGGATACGTACTAGATATGTGTAGAGGTAAAGTGATCAACACACGAATTACAACTATGGTTCATTTCCTCTCAAAGACCAGTAAAAGGTAAGTTCATAGTTATGTGGTTAATTCATAAGCAGGAACGGTTAAATTGCACTTTAATTTATCGTTTCACCACTTATCTTACTAGCCATTTGGGTGGCAGGTCTCTTTATTTGTTAATTTTGTTGTGAACTTAATTGTCCAGTATTACCCATCAAGTAACCCCCTCCTTTTTATTGTTGTTTCTAGTGTAATTTCGTCTCTTAAAATGTACAACTAGAAGTGTATGAAACCAACATAAGAAAAGTAAGAGTGAAGTTTGTTTACATTTTTATTTGTGATGTCCACCGATCTATGGGGCGAAATGCAAAGTTAAATTAGCTGTAACTTTTTTCCAATTAATTCCCGACAAAGTTGTTTTGCATATCTGGAAAATAGAGGTAGAACTATCCCCAAATAAACTGTAAAAAGTGGGTTATTCAGTGGGTCTTAAACTGCAATTTAACCAGTCATTTGAAAACATCCACGCGCATTTATGATAAATTTTGGTTAGGTTAGGTTATAGTTACGCCTCTCTCTCTCTCTCTCTCCTCACCTGGCAAACGTTCTCAGCCTTCTTAACTGAGAGGGCACACACGCCTTTGTCAGTGGAGTCCTGGCTGCTGCTGGTGAAGTAAGAGACTCTCGCAGAGGACGAGCCACCACACGTCTTCTCAACTATGTACACGGCGGGGAGTAAACATATACGTATACACACATTAACGAAAACATAACAAAACACACATACACACACATTACTAGGGCATTTACACACACACACACACACACATTACTAGGGCATTTACACACACACACACACACACATTACTAGGGCATTTACACACACATACACACACACACACATTTACACACACACACACACACATTACTAGGGCATTTACACACACACACACACACATTACTAGGGCATTTACACACACATACACACACATTACGGCATTTACACACACACACACACACACACATACACACACATTACTAGGGCATTTACACACACACATACACACACACACACACACACACACATTAGGGGCATTTACACACACACACACACACACACACACACACACACACATTACTAGGCACACACACACATACACACATTACTAGGGCATTTACACACACACACACATTACAAATTACTACACATTACACACACACACACATTATACTATTTACACATACACACATTCATTAGGGCATTTACACACACACACATTACTAGGCATTTACACACACACACACATTACTAGGGCATTTACACACACACACACATTACTAGGGCATTTATTACACACACACATTAATAGGCATTTACACACACACACACACTAGGGGCATTTACACACACACACACACATTACATTAGGGCATTTACACACACACACATTACTAGGGCATTTACACACACACACACATTACAAGGTTATTTACACATTCACACATTATTAGGGCATTTACACACACACACACACACACACACACACACACACACACACACATTACAAGGTTATTTACACACACACATTACACACACACACACACACACACACACATTAGGGTATTTACACACACACACACACACACACACACACACACACACACACAATTTACTAGGATATTTACACACACACACATACAGTAGCGCGGGTCACTCACAGACACAACACTCGCCCAGGCCGAGGGAACACTTGCCGTCCACAGTGCCGCCCAACTTGCTACACTGGAAGTAAGGAAGACACGCGCCGTCCTTCCCAGAGGCCACACACATCTTGGGATTCACCACCAGGAACACTGCAGAAGGACACATACTCACACTGTATATAAGGGGTTAAGTTATCGTACTCAAGGTGTTAAGTGATCGTACTCAGGGGTTAAGTTATCGTACTCAATGGGTTAAGTTATAGTACTCAAGGGTTAAGTGATCGTACTCAGGGGTTAAGTTATCGTACTCAAGGTGTTAAGTGATCGTACTCAGGGGTTAAGTTATCGTACTCAATGGGTTAATCTTACTCAAGGGGTTAAGTGATCGTACTCAAGGGGTTAAGTGATCGTACTCGGGTTAAATTATCTTACTCAAGGGGTTAAGTTGTACTCAAGGGGTTAAGTTATCGCATTCAAGGTGTTAAGGTTTCGTACTCAAGGGGCTAAGTTATCGTACTCAAGGGGTTAAATTATCGTACTCAAGGTGTTAAGTTATCGTACTCAAGGGGTTGAGTTATCGTACTCGGGTTAAGTTATCGTACTCAAGGGGTTAAGTTATCGTACTCAAGGGGCTAAGTTATCGTACTTACATTTAGCATCACGGTGTGTAGAGTTGAAATGTTCCGTGGGGGATGCAGTGACTCGGGGGGCAGCAGCACCCAGCACCAACACCTTCAGTAGCACCATCACCCGGGTCATCCCTCCTACAGTATAACCTGAATACAAATTACAACATACAGTAACCTTTCAACAACACGTGAAATATTGTTATTCTATTTTCACGTTATGAGTCATTGTGATGTCATCTTTATCCCTGACAACTATCAACCTTCAGTGCTTGTGTTGGTAGATGGTGAGTAATATTAGTTTTATTATTATTATGACTACGTGAATGAACTGGATAGAGATATGTTTGACAATTGTTCGTAAAAAAAATAGTGATAATCCCTATTGAATGGTTGTATCCTCGTTCGTCATTAAAGAGTTAAATAATATTCGTCAAGGGATAAAATAATAAAATAATAAAATAATAGTCATCAAAGGGTTAAATTTTCGTCCCCAAAGAGTTAATCAATAATTAATCACAGGTAAGGGGAGGCTTTACTATATACTCATTTTTTTGCATTAATTAACTTTAACACACGTCAATATTATTATTATAGTCTTACTGGAGGCGACGAGAAGAGTGGCGTTGGGTGTTGTAACTTGTGATTGCAGTGAACTACAGACTCAATCCTTTTATCACGGTAGATGGCGATGGCTGCTGGAGGATGATGGCCCAACAGCAGACGCAGAAAAACAGTGATGAAGTGCGACACCAGCAGACAACAGAGAGAGGATGGTGGCGGGTGTCTGGGACAAGTGTGAGGTAAGGCTGATCCTCCCTCGGCGTCTTATAGTTGTGTGTGGTGAGGTTGTGTGAGAAGGCGTCACTTCTCTCAACCAGGTGCTATGTTGACACTGCTCCAGTACATACAGTTATACTTCACACTATCTGCAATATAGAAAGCTCACATCCCCCCCCCCACTCTCTCTCTCTCTCTCCAGCTAATTTACTGGATAAGTGATAAATGATAGAACAAGTCTACCATATAAATTAACTGATGAAGAAGGGGTCGTGGTAATGTGACCAACACTAGAGTTATCCTTCAATGTTAAATGTTATGTTCGTCCCTCACCAAATGTATAGTATAAATAATTAATGCTGACTTTTTGTTGTCGTAATAACCCGGACCAACACCCACTCATACACGCACTCTACAATCGTACATATTCTTAATTACTTACTCTACGCACACTTCTTTTATCCAGTCTGTTATATCTTCATCTCACATGTTTCGTAGTTGAGTATGTAGTTCTGTCAATCCTGATTCACTCATACATAGTTGAGTGTTTTATTAAATGTCTGGGTGTTTGTGTAATATATGTGTGTGATATGTTTATGTTTGCGTGTGTGTGTGTCGTGTGTATTAACAATAGGAACTAGCCAGCGGGTCTGTGTCACTAGGGGTCGCTTTCTCTCTCCCACTACAACTAAAATAAGGTAAACACACAATACGCTTTAGGTTCGTCGCCCTCCTTAGAAAATGATGACGTCACAGTTTGTTTACAGTGAGAGTGCGATAGTCAGCAGTAAGGATAAAAATGATAGTTTATATTGTTTATATTCCTTGGGGAGAAAGATAGCCGGAAGATAATACTATACCAGAATAAGATACATATTGTTTGCTGGATAAAGACAGATAGATAACTATAGATTATAAATAGAAACGAGTAGATTATAGACAGATATACTGTAGATGTACACACAAACTCTCTATGGGAATAAATATGTATTAGTTTAAACGCAAGAGAAACAAACAACCGAACTGCTAAAATATTAAAAGGCCTTGTATCTCGTCTTCGTCTTTGCGATAAAACACAACATCTAGCTGTGACGTGGTAGTAGTATGCTGAAATTATTTTTTTTTTCTGCATACACGTAAGAACTAAATCACATACCGTCTGTTGTATATTTATAAGTAAAATGAGGAGCTGAGGACGAAAGGAACGAAACCACGGAGAGTGAGTGAGAGGGAGGGAGAGTGAGAGGGAGGGAGGGAGGGAGGGCGAGAGGATGGGGTGTGTGTGTGTGTGTGTGTGTTTTCCTTGCCGTCGTGGTAGTGGGGGAGGGAGGCAGCTCCTCTACTCTATAAGACAGTACGTTATTGAGCAGCCCTCCTAATTAGCCAGCACAATTAACAAACATTTTCCTCAGTATCGCTCATTAGCACCCTTCTCTTTTACATATTTTATGCATCTCCGGCACATTTCCATTTACACTGACGGCAATTTTGTAAACAGAGGAACATAAAGTATAGAGGCATAGCACTAGCTGGTCCTGCGCACCTCCGCATCGAGTGTAGAAACAAACTTTAGCAATTTTTAGCTCAGTAAGTTAAAACCTGCTTCAATTTACCTCTCAAGGCAGCCATTTACCGCGTAATTCATACTCCAACACGTATTCGTCAATCCACTTCATATCGGAAAACATGAGAATGAACGATATTGAGTAATAAATTTGTAATCGTCATACGGCAACGGGAGCTTCTTGAACCAATGGTGGAGGGGAGCGCGGCCCACCCAACACCCGTCTTTATGACGTCCTGTTGAAAAAGCGCCCTGAAAAAGTCAGTGATGTGTATCGCCTGTGGTTTTGAGGTCACGGGTTCACTTACGCACAAGAGCTCTACTTCTCATATATTTAGTGGGAAAGTCGCCCTTATAATCCTGGATGGCCTTATCTTACAAGTTCACTAAACCTTAAGATACCTGAGTAGCAATCGGTCAATTGAAATATTTTATGGAGACTAAATTTGGCGCTCTTATTTGATTCTCTAAAAATGTTTTAATTGCTTTAATTGATTTTTATACAATGTATAAGGGATAATTATATCAATTATCACGTATTACAAACGTGAAGATGTGTTGGTAAAAAGGAAAGTTTGATTATCACGCGAAAAAAGGATCTACTTAATATTGGAGCTCTAGGTACGTTGCTCGGATTGAATAAATTCCTGCAGTCCTACTTAACATCATCCTGTAACACAAGAGCAATATATATATTAAAACTTATCGTTCTGAATTAGTGTACTGAAGAATATACAATGACACAAAGAAACGTGAGCGAAAACAGTGAATAACACAAGGTGCGTGTACGTGTGGTCTCTCCTGTGAAGCCCTCCAACAATACGCACATACACACACACGAGATGGGAGATGCACGCATCCCAGCATCCCTGTGACATTTGACGTGAAGATGAGCTCTCCACTGTCTCTTAACTGCCCAATTCTGGATAGCATACCATAAGGTTAGGGTGTTGGCTGGTGTGGCCAGGCTGGAGTAACACAGCTGTCTCGTGGGGCGGTGCAGTTGCCAGCCACCGCTTGAGACTCGCTCACTCAGCTGTTTTTAAATAATGTATTCAAGTATAGTTATGCTTCTAGTAGTTTTAACCATAATAAATCAAATGATCATAAAAGATATCTTGTTTACATTGACTACAGGTAAATCATACACTCATCATTAACAAGAGAGACGTGAAATATTGCGGTAGACGAAGCTCAAGCAGCCCTGTGCTATTACACTATTATCCGTGACGTGTGCTGCTGGCCAAGCTTTCATTCCAGTAACACAATGATTTATTCATATCTTCACTATAATTCAAGTTAGTAAATTACATAGATAAGCTCCAAGTTGTATCACCTCAGGAACATTCTTCTCTTATCTCCAGCTAAACTTTTACAGGATTTCCTGAAGAATTTTATTTATTATCGTTGACTGACATTTTCACTTTCACAGGCAACTAGGATTCCGGACTCCTGATCACACACTGTATGTTTACAAGTACAACTGTCTGGGAATTTCCTAGAGTTGTCGGGTGAAACACAGTCCAGGGTGAAGTACAGCTCTTGCCCGGCCCTGCTGACTGGCGGCATCCTCTTGTCAGTCAGGCGAGTGTTGGAGTGTAGGTGGCGGACTGTACCACACTGATTACCACACTACCACTCTCGTGTTGTGGGGCCCTGCTGGGTGTTCCTCCCCCACACCTGCACCACACTGGTAGTGTTGTGGGGCCCTGCTGGGTGTTCCTCTTCCACACCTGCACCACTGGTAGTGTTGTGGGGCCCTGCTGGGGTTCACTGTGGCAAGACTAGTTATTTCAGGTGACATTCGTATGTCTAGAAAGTTCCTGTGAGCTGCGTCGACGTTTCTAGATCCTCACAGTAAATTCAAAACTGTTTTCCCTTCGAGGCAACATGACGGTACCTTATGTTAGCGGTTGTTGTGTATTGTTAGGGAAGGATGCGTGTTCAGGTGAACACTTTAATCCTGCTGTGTTCGGGATTGAACCTGGGAGCTAGAGCCAGACACCTCTACCACTGACCCACACCCAGCTGGAGGACGCTAGTTGTCAGACCTCTCATTTAAGTCCAATTGTTATTTACACTAAGAAATTGTTTGGCATAAATTTTTTAAAGTCTAAATATTTTTATCTGAGGCCCCAATACCCCTTATTTGTCTGTGTGAAGTTTTTCTTCAATTTATTCGAATGCTCAGTGTTTTACGCTGCGGCCATTAAATGCTTAATACAGTACTTGAATATTTCATGTAACCAAACCACATTTTTCGATGAAATTTTAAAAACTTATTTATATTTTTTTTTCCATTTGGGTGCGGGCATACCCCGTATTGCCCTGAATGTTGCGCTCATGTCTAGGTACTTCATGCCAAAGTGTGTAACAAAGAACTGACCGGGTGCCCAGCCTGGTGAGTAAACTGACAAGTGGTGTAGAGGATAAACTAAAATAAAAGTAAGGGGTGAGACGTGCTCCCTGCTGAGTCACACTGGCAGGCGCTAACGAAGATCTCCAGTGTGGGTCCTGTCAGCTCCAGTCATATATGGCACCGCTGGTCAGCCCCACAACACGCTCTCAGTCAACATGATGATAAGCAGCTTTTTTTTTATCTTGACATGAAAATTCAAGATCTGCCATTATAATTTCCCACACTCAATGGTTTATTTGTTATTAAACAGAAATTGAAAAACGTAAACAATAACAAGAGATCAAATGTGTAACTATGATTTTGCTATAAGCCTTTTTAACAACTCGTGAGATGTCTATGGGTCAATAGATTTACTGTTCACTTGTTTGTATACCTACTTTGCGTTATTTTACCTTGTCCAGCACCGTCTAAGTCCTCGTTGAATCAATGTAAACTTGTATAACGTTTTTTTCTGACTGAATATGTCTCTACTTCCCAACTGTTGACTAGAGAGTTTTTATTTTTATCTTTAAAATAATATCAAAATTATTATATTCACATTTTTAATTAAACATTGCATGAATGATTATATAATTATTCTACACAAAACCGATACAGTGATGAATAATTATGTGTGTTATGTAATACAGTACACCGATATATTTGCTCAGTAACCCCAAGAAAATTTTGCGTGTGAATGATGGAAAATGTTTTAGTTACCCATTAACGTTTTCTATCATGAGTGATCCTTTATTTAATATTAAGTGAAATTATACAAGCAAGCCAGACACGTAGACTCTTTCGTTCATTGTTGAGATAGTAAAGTCAAGTCATTCTTATAACTGATTTTGATTAGAACAAAACTGGTGATAAGAGAAACACGTTTACAGCCCGAGTTATCCCCCCATCAGCTCAAGCCCCAACACCCAGACTTATGGCGCCCTATCGAAAGAGTCCTCCGGAACCCTTTGTTTAGCGCGTTTTTCGCCACGGGAGCTCGTTTTCCGCGGTATAAACATATGACGCACTGTTTGTCGATTCTGGTCGCACAGCTGTACGCTGCAGTAATGTAGGTGTAGAAATAAGCTCGTATAACCAGCGTGTTTGTCGAGTTAACTGTGTTGGCTATAAAAATATATAGATTGTATGCCTTTTTTTTGTACCTACTGTACAAGGATCACTTGACTTTTCTAACCATGTTTGCTGTGCTCGCCGCATCTTACTAATTCATTAATCAGCCATCTCTTTGTTCACTGTTTTCTTTAGAAATGTCAGTAAATTGAAGTGAAACAGTTTTTTAGCCAGAAAAACACAGATATAGAGTAGATAATAATAACAATATTAACATGGCTGAGCCAGTTGAGAACCTGAGCTCTCCTGTAGGCACCTGATATACTGTGTACTATACATTTATCTCAAGGAAGTATTATGTAACATTTAGTATCATCTGGAATAGTACAATAGCATGGTGGTAATAAGAACATCTAATAATGTTACCACGGTTATCACTTCAATATTTATTTATTTTATGGAATTATTTTTTTTTTGTATTTATATTATAAGTATATACATAAATTACAGTGGAATTGGAAAACACAAATATAATGGGGCAGCAGTACAACATGGGTTGTACAGTATTAAGGTTGAGCAAGAGGACAGAGCTGTCAGGATTATGTCTAGTTGGCATATATTATATATATTTATTGCAATGGTAATTTCTTATCTATTTACATGATAATTTCCGGTAAAACGGTTTTGATTGTAAAATGAAAGCAGGTACTGTAAATACAGTAGGCATTACAAGAAATATTAATACTTAGACAATAGATATGTTTTGAGAGGTGATTTAAAGTTGGGGAGCGTAGTCTTCGCTGGGATGGGTGGGGGTAAGTTGTTCCACACCACACCAGGATAATTTACGGAGGTCCGGGACTGAGAGGAGCGCATGGGGGGTGGTCTTAGTAGCTCTGGGTGCCTTACGTTGTATCTCTGATTATTCTGGAACTGGAAATAATTATTGTCAAGCAAGTGATTGATAGATTTGTAAACAGAGAGGGCACAGCAGTAGGTGTTAATATCCTCGAATTTGAAAATTTTCAATTTAGCAAATTTTTCGTTTGTGTGATCTGTCTTTTTCAAGTAGGTCATTGTCAGTACAACTCTCTTTTGTGCAGTAACCAGGGATTGTGTTTTTGAGGAGCCAGAGGGACTCGACTGTAAATAACCACATTGTTGGCTATCCTTAGTCGAATCGACCTGTCTACCATTGTTAGCATACCTACAGCCTGCACATTATATTTATAACAGCATTGTCTATGTACCTGCATATGCTGAAACAATGTAAACATGTATGACGATTTTACTGAAAGAATAAAAATATTGATGTACAAATACTATAAGTTAACGAAGGAGACAGAAGTTCAATGACAATACTGCATGATTTTTTATTATTATTTATTTAGCTTCATCAACTTACCAACCGTTCGGGCGGTTGGTCTGTTCTTTGTTACCATGTTATGACCTCCTGTACAGTGTTAATTATGTCAAAGCTAAGAGCAAAACAAAAAATAGTCTCCCTCTGGATTATCTCATAATAATGTATTGCTAATGCAGTATAAGACAAAGATAAAATTATACAATTGCCTTAGGACATCTTCCATTGAGTTGAGAATACAAAAGGGATCATTTAAGTCACAATGGCAGCAATAGTCTACAGCTATGTGGCTCAGTGGGGCCCCGTGGCTACGTCTGTCGTCATGTTTAACTTCTGAATTATCTCTCTGGGCGTTAAATTCTTCTTCACTCCATACCTGGGAGGAGCCGTGTAAGTGGTGTCTGCCGCGTACAACTCCAGGACACTCGCTGCCCCACTAATCTAAATTCCTCGACGTCGACCAGGCATGAAGCCCATCGATACCCCAGTGTTTCTTGCCCACCATACATGCCTTCGTGTTACCCACAGAAGCTCCTTTTTAAAATAAAGTTGTCAAGTATTCGCCGGACGAGGACTCATAGCGAGACTGTGGGTGTACCTCCTGGAATGTCTACACACAGCAGCTGCCCAAATATCCACAAAAGACCATACTCCAGTTATAGCTAAATACGGGGAGCTGGTGAAAAGGCTGGAGAAGGTAAAATAAAGAATGTTAGCATGTATGTATGTATGTGGCAGGGAGGGAGGAGGGGTGATAAGTAGCCCTCTTTTTCAGCCAGTTGACTCCATCTGACCCCTCTTGTTTGTCCTCCACGTGACCCGTTTTTCTTAACCCACACTTGTTTATTCTGCCTCGAGAGACGTAATCCTCCTTCCTCGGTGTTTTACAATTGTGTGCGACCATTGTGATTTCTCCGCGTTAATAAGATGAACAAATAAAGGGTCTCTGTTCCTCCGATGTCCCGCCTCCACACACACTAAATAGACAAAGCAAAAGAGTGAACGGCTGTGAATGTAAAGAGTGTGCACGCCAGTAAAGATGAACGTCATTGAAGTTGAACGCCAATAGAAATGAACGCCAGTGAAAATAAACGCCAGTGAAGATGAACGCCGGTGAAGATGAACGCCAGTATGAATGAACGCCAGTAAAGACGAATGCCAGTTAAAATAAACCCCAATGAAAATGATCGCCAGTAAAATTGAGAGCCAGTGAAAATAAACGTCAATGCAAATGATCGCCAGTGAAATTGAACGCTACTAAAGATGAATGCCAGTGAAAATAAACGACACTAAAAACTATCGCCAGTACAGATGAACGCCAGTGAAAGTAAATGCCCTTTGAAAATAAACCCCATTAATAATGAACGCAAGTACATAAGAATACTAGCGGCACAACACTATTACTCCCCAACTTAATCCAACAAGAGGTTTATATCTAATATTCTTTTATGTTAAATAATAGTGTTAATTACTTACTAACCTAGCATGAGCATTATAAACGCCATAATACATTATAACATCAACCCAGCAGAACTTGTATATCCTATATCAAAAAAAATGTTTGAACCATATATAGGCGATAGGAAAATATATTAAAAGTTATAGATCTATTTAATTAATTTTTCTCTAAACTAATTTAATGGTTAGACTGAAAAGAAATAATATAAACTATTTTGCATATAAACTTGGACTGATAATGTAAACAAAAGTTGAGACTCGAACACAATCAGCTGTCGTCTGCAGCTGCCAAGATGTCCGGGAAGACCAACAGGGCCAAGTGTTTAGAGACAGAGATAGAGAGGAGCAGAGAAGAGTCAAACTGGAAGAAGGTTATAGAATTAGCGGAACACCTGAAGGCAAGGAATCAACCTGGTTTAGGTAAGTGGGGTGGAAGTAGAAGGTGACGACGAGCTAAACCCAGGCCAAGGCTATACTCCCCCTCTGATGGTAGCCCGTCACTGAGACTACTCCAGCAGAGGCCAAGGCTATACTCCCCCTCTGATGGTAGCCCGTCACTGAGACTACTCCAGCAGAGGCCAAGACTCTTTTTCTTGCATTACATAATACCTAGAATTCGAATAAATATATAACAAATATGGTGATAGCTTATAAAGTAATAGTTAACATGGAGTACTTGAATCTGCACTACTACTGAAATATAGTTTATCTTTTTCATTACGTAAGTTTAGGTTGTTGGTTCAGTTGATTATTTTAATTGATGTGTTGTAAAAGTTTTGGCGAAGATAGAATATGGAAATCCTAAAATTTAAAACATTTATGGGATCACCAAAAGAATCTCCACCCGTTTATTTCTCCTAAAGGCTAACCTAACCTAACCTAACCTAACCCTCCAAATGGTGTTATAGTGCCTATTATTTAGGTGAACTAAGATCTTCTGGTGATCCCATTTGTGTGACAGAACGGTAATATGTTAGAACACTGACTCATGAGAATGAACAACTTATGGAAGGTTTTCTCAAAGAAAATACTTCAACAATGTTTAGAAATTAAGTGGTGGAGTGGCCACTCCTATACGCATGTTTTTTCTGTACTCACCCCTGAAGATGTGAATTACACGAAAGCGCTTGGGAACTTCGTGTTTTCTTCTTTCCTTGTGGTTATCAGCATATATATATATATATATATATATATATATATATATATATATATATATATATATATATATATATATATATATATATATATATATATATATATATATATATATATATATATATATATATACTGTACAGTATATATATTGTTTGATTTCACTTAAGGAAATGCAATTTTGATCACACAATGTGGGAAGGGCTTTGAAGAGGGAAATTGTGGGGTAAAAGCATGCAAAAAAACTGCCGAAACAAAACCCAATGACTCCAATATCAGTATACAGTAGTAATATCTCTGTTAGCCGGAATCCCTCAAACCCGGAACTCTCCGGGAATTGAAATTTTCTTGGAAAATTCCTAGAAAATTTTCCCGATACCCAGAACATTTTGGGGACGAGGGAGTTTTTTTTCCAAGTTTGAGAGATGAAATTCGAGTGCATTTTCCGTAAATTCTGAGAAAAAATTTCCGGTACCAGGAAAATTCCAGGGATGGGAAATATTTTTCCGGGTTCGAGAGATGATGTAATGGGCAATTTCTGGAACTAACAAGAATATTTTTCCACTCCCCTGAAAATTCCGGGGATGAGTGATATTTTTCCAGGTGCACGAGAGCCGTCTCGTTACCCGGAAATCTCTCATTCCGTGAAGGGCTCTGCACCAATTGTTCTGGCTAACGGAGAGAAACCACAAGGACCTAACCCCCTGATGTGTAAACCTAAACTAACCCAACAAGACAAAACTCGAAAAATACAAATTTCCAACGAAGCACAATAATTTCATGCACACGAGTATCACGTGACATCGACACGTCCGCTGATTGGCTGAGTAAGAAGTAAACAATGCATATCTCTGCGAACTTGTGCTCTCTTCATGAAAAATGTGAAAATAACTTAAAAACTACAAATTTCAGAGGGAAATGCTATGGAGTATTTGGGGTTTTTTTGGCTGTACTGTACAATAATAACAAGTTTTATCAGATAAGAAAGTTTGTCAAATTAGTAATTTAACTTTGTGCATAATTTAAGGTACTGTACAGTGATACATAAGATTTAATAAAATGTATGGGATAAACAGTGAAAATGGCCAGGAAAAAACTTAATTTGTGAAATTGCCGCATTACATTCTCATAGGGACCCTATTTTACTCTCATCCGACCAGAGGATTTGAACCTCTTGCCACAGTGGTGAGAGACAAGCTCACTCCTACTGCCCCACCAACAACATGAATATGAGTTAGCTCAACCTTTTCATGGTGAAAATGACTCTCCAGTTGTATAATAAATCAGAAAACATCAGACCTATGAGTGATGTTTCATCCTGTAAACTCCAGTAATAAAGAGGTTCCGCAAAACTTCACTTATACAGTACTGTACAGTGCCTATACAAAAATTATAAATTTCTTTTATCAGTTGCTGAAAAGGTTATACTGTACCTGTATTTATTAGATTTGTTATTTTCAGTCTTAAAAAATCATATGCATATTTTTCTAACTCAAGTAAACCTTATTAATTTGGGAGGGTAACTCAGATTGTAATAGGTTAATGGAATCACATAAAATTGAATTGATATATTGATTTTTTTCTTCCAGAGACCTTAGCAAACTTCCTCATTGGAGAAGGAAAACTTGAATCATACTTGGAGGAACACCCACCCACAGAGAGCAATATCCCCAAAGCTAAGAATGGTCTGGCTGAGGCACGGAGGTACCTGCACATGTGTATTGGAGAGCCAGCCAAGAAGGTGAGATGGGAAATAAATCTTAAAATTTCTCTGTGTACTGACAGCAATATTACTAACCCATCTTGTATTAACTTTTTATGAAACAGATGAACCTAATCTAACCAAATCTACCAGTTCAGAATAGGTTTGGATGGTGTTTTTCACTTGAAGAATACTAAATGGTGTTCAGTCCTTTTCAAGGTATTCTTTTAACATCAACTATTTTTCATCATGACAAAGGTGATGACTGAAGTAGATATATTTGTATTCTTGTGTGTGTATGTGTGTGTGTTTGCTGAAGATTCAGTTCATCACACAAAACTAGGCACTAATTCGTCTGGTACTGTATTCTCCAATTGACTAAGAAAAGACTAGACAAGCTTTGGGTAGGATAAAATATCATGTTTGGCTATAGAACATTGATTGTTGTATGAGCCATTATGGTGTTGAAATAGCATCAGAGAGGAAAATTCAGAGCCTTTATCCAGAATTAAAGTAAGTACAATTAAGAACTACTGTATAATTAGAATCATGCTTAGGATAATATTCGTCATGCTAAGTTGTGATATATCTGAATGGGCGATGAAATAAAGTGGTGATGTTGTGGTGAATAATGTGGCAGTTGTAACTCATCGGCAGACAGTAGGCAGTGAAGATAACTAATTTACGAAGAGACATCATCAAGGGAGTGTGTGTGTGAGTGCTCTAGGTCCAAATACAGTAGGGATGAATTTTGTGTTATATTGTCATTACTGTATTTAATAAACCAATCATAAAAAAATGAAAATAAGGTTTAGCACAGTGGATCATACAAGCAATTACAGTATTTATGTTTAAGAATTAAACTTAAACCAAAGTAATTGATGCTTTAAACTTCAAAAGATTATTATGAGTATGTTATTATTATTTTTTTTAATATTAATTCTTGAACAGAATAGCTTATTTATTCTTTTAGTTATTACGGTACATGTCAGATTTATGAAAACTGTGCCTTTTAATGTACTGATGTTTCTTTATTCGTGGCATAGGTCAGTCAGCTCATGAAATCTCTGCTTGTGTCTTGATATAAATTAGAACGTGTCTCAGTCTCTACTTATGGTATTTCATTTTTAAACTCCTAATTATCAGCCATTTGGGATAAGATATGAGCGTGTAGTCACTATGTTCATGAATGTAAATGTGAGTTCAAATATACCTGTACAGTGTAAGGTTTTCAAGCTTCAAGTTCCAGAATTCTTGACCCATAAACATGTTCTAGGAAATATAGTCCACTTTGACTCTGATTCATTACAGTCAGCATTGTCTGGTTTGCAATTTGTTGTTGATCTATGATGGGAAATTGTAAGTCACCCACTTAGGAGCAGGAGTCAGTACCTGCTAGTGCGGTGTAAAGGATCACATTTTCTTTCCACTCCTGACTCAAACTCTGTATTTTCTCTCTTGTTTAAATGTGCACTGTTGCATTGCAGTCGGTGATAAATGATCATGTGTTTGTTTAACTGGCATCATTATTATATGTTACTTGTTCATTCTTGTGTAGAAAGTACTTAGCAGACTATTAAGTCATGCATTAAAAAAGATGTTGGCAGAATTGACTACAGTATCATTTATTTTTTCTTGTAAATAAGTAGATGAGTCTTAATGTGAACACATATTCATGTTTAAATCATTTCCTTCAACAGGGAGAGGTAAGATAAGATGGAGCTGTCACCAGCCTCGTATTTCAGTTTGATATCAAAGTAATGATTGTTATGGTATTAACCTTTAATCACAAGTGCAGTATTAGTATTTTTGGTTGAAAATGTATACAGTATTTGGTCCTAGAAAAGCCATCATTGTATCCATATTCCTCTTATGATAAAGTGATCAAATTGACAAAAGTAGTACAGTATAATAGTTCAGTAAATTGTTATATGGATGTTTCATCAGAGAATCAGTGAGTCAGAGCATCGGGGCTTCTTAGTTAATAGATAGTTGCCTCTGACATCATTGGTTAGGATTAAATGTCCATTATTTCTTTTAATTTCCCTAATAATTTGTTTAATGTCGGTCATTATTGTCAGATCTGTTTTTTATGTTGTACCATTAATCTTTTTTATTCTACTTTTTGGTCATTATTGTTTTTGTACATTAGAAAATACTGTTCAAGGATGTCATTGCAATTTTTTGACCAACGGGTTATTGTGGGTAACCTGTGAGATCCGTACCACCAAACACCCCCTAGTGACCAGCGTTAAATCCAGGAGGCCTATTGTGTAATGGCAGGATACACTGTTCAGGCTAAATGTTAGAACACGTTTTCTATTGGAACAACATTTTTCACCTAGATGGTTCTGGGTTGGATGGATTAAATTTGAACCACTGGTCTACTTTGGTCTAGTGATGATTTAGGTCGAGGTTGAAACAATTTGAACACAGAAGCTGAAGTGTTTCATATGTTTTTTAACCATAAGAGAAAATTTCTATACAAACCTTCTAGGTATCCTACTCGATTCCAAATCATAAACACATACCTTTAGCTCTATATGTTCTGCAACTTTCCATGGAGGAAAAATTTTAAGAATACACACTGCTCCAGTTTAAGGTTGAGGTGAATGTGTGAATGATAGGAAAACATGACTTCAAGTGGTTCATAGGCATGTTATATTGTAACAGTAAGAGTAAAGAGACAGAACCATATGAAGAGAGACTTAATTTGCTTTTGTTATATGCCTTTAAAATACATTGATCCTGTGTTATTAATGAGTTAAATAAAATATCTTCATTACAATCCTGTAGTACATGATTGAAGAAATTTTGCCTTGTCTGTGGCTTGTTGATGAGGATTATCTTTCAAATAAATACTGGAAAGAAGCGAGTGGTGTTCCTCAGCTAAAGTTTTTGTCTTTAAGTATCTTAATGAAGAGCCTGACAATCCAAACTGTATGGCTTTTGGAAATAAATAAGATCAGCACAATCTGTTCGAAAAATTGTAATCCCTGATTGACTCTTACACTATCTTTAGTGCCAGGGGACCTCCACAAACCATCTCCTAACTGGTTAAGAGTCTCACAGGCTTGTTGCAATGACCCATAAGTCATAATTTAAGAATTGTCCTAAGAAATACCATTTGATGACTGAAGAAAAGAAGATTGGCCTAGTTTCCTCCTTCCTCCCTTGGCAGGATCACAAGTGGGCAGAAACTGAGAGAACTTCTTTATAAAACTGAAGAAGAGGGTTTGAAGCTTGTTTGTTACTACAGTCAAAGGAGTTTTATCTCTTAACCTGAATCTTCATTGGACCTAAGTCAGCCATTGTTTCAAATGGTTTTTCTCAACCCTGAGCCATCTGGATAAAAATTGCTATTTAATCTAAAAACATTTCATGTGCGTGCATGCATGCATGCATGCGTGTGAGTGAGATAAACGGTTTATCAATAGAGTTGCAGCCGGTGGCTGAAAATATACAGACTTACATTTGATTTAGACATAATGATATAATATGCATTGAATACATTTACAAGGCTGTACAGAACATAAATCAGGAGTTGTTTATTATTTTAACAATAGATGGGATGGCGCTATTCTTATATCTATTGGTGTGGGCTATTATGGGCTGAATTTTGTTGTAGTGGCGGACTGCGGGAGGTGGGCGGGGGGTTGCCAGTGGCAGGAGGTGGTGATGACGAGGGTGGTGCATTAGTTGGCTGCCAAACCTTTCCAGTGCTTGGTGGTGGAGGTCACTGAGGGATGGCATTTCCAGGGTGGAGAGAGCGTTGGTGTAGCCAGAGTATTCTGCGCCGAGCATGATTCTGCAGGCCCTTTTCTGTGTGTGTGTTTGTGTTTTTGCTTAGATAATATATCCTGTCATTAAGCAATAGACCCCGTCATTTAAAGGGTATTTAAGAGTATAGATCTTGCAGGTCACTCCAGTTGGTTATGAAGTAGAATCCCTATGTCAGTCCCTCTTGTTATTTAATTCTCTTATTAGTCAGAATTTGTATTACTGTACTGGTATTCCTGCAAAATGGTCAGTGTAAAAAAATACCACTTACAAAACTGCAGACCTTTCTTTTTCAGGCTACATGAATCAACTGAACCAATCCTAACCTAACCAACTTCACTTTTCATTGTTAGGTTAGATTTGGATCTGTTTAAAAATAATTAGACAATCTAGCCTGTGGTATTTTGATAACACTGGCCACCTTCTGGTCTCCCAAGTACAGAACTGACTTTAAAAATCCGTGATGAGTTTGATGACCCATCTGTTATTATGAAGAATGAGTTTTCCTCTCGATATATTTTGTCAATGTCACATTCAGTATCAAAGAGGAATTTAGTACTGCTTTTCATTTCTATTAATGTGTAGATATAATTGTTGCACCATCACTTATATACGTGTTGCACCTCTTGAAAGTTACAAGCCAATGGAGCAGGAGCTGAAATTTTGATATCATCTTACTTGACGATTGTTATCTAATGTTGGTACAATTTTTTGTTTAATTTTATCAATACATCATCATATTTCCACTAGAATTGAGATTTTTATTGGACATTGATTAGTCCAAGAAGGCTCTGGGTTATCAGTAAGTAATGGAAGATTTAGCATCACCTGTAGACCTGGGGAGCTGGGCCTTATGAGCTATACTGTAGTACAATAGTTGTTGTTATTTAGTAAGTTACCATAACATAACACCTTTGATGTTCTGTAACTACAGTTTGCAAAAATAGTGTGACTAGTTTCACTCCTAATTTCCATATACCTCAGATACGAGTTGGCTTTTGTTCGTCAGATTGTTTGAATTATTATGGGCGGTTTGTGAACACGATATTCTTGCTTTTGTCATATGTTAATGCTTAGTGTGCACTAGAGCATTTTTTCTCAAAAAGCTTATGCTTCTGTGGGTGAAAGATCGTCGTTACAGTTGCATCCTGGCAAAATGTTTATGCTCACAAATATTTAAACTTTCAGGATTTATGTATGTTCATAGTACTGTAGAGTACTGTACTTGACACTGCAGTATTATAATGAACAAAATGTGTGCATCTTTAATAACGAATTCTGTTGTGTCTGACCTCGATGAAAGGATCTATAAGACCTACAGTTTAATATTTTATAAAATATACTGTCTGGTGAAAATTGAATATGAATACAGTACTGTACTGTATATAGGGACAGTCACCAACAAAACCGGCACCCCCTCTCCTTGCTCTATACTGAACCTGAAGCCAATAAAACATTTTCAGTGAAGCATTTCAGTCAGGTTCATGTGTGGCACAACAGATGGCACAGTACAGTACTGTAAAAGTCTAAAGTGAGAGAATGAGAGCAATCTTTGTTGAGCACAATCCTTCCTTGCCTTCCCGTCTCTCCCATCCCTATACAGTACTACACCTAATTTTCCTCTCTTCACTCTGCCTCCCTTCCCCCAACCCCCTCCTTCTCCTCCCTTCAGACTTTACTGCACTATCAGTTGTGCCACACAAGGGCCTGACTGAAATGCTTCATTGAAAATGTTTTATTGGCTAAAAATTGTCTTACATATCATTTTATATAAGTTTTGTGGTAGAATTTTTTCTTAGGAACATATCTTCACTGGTGTATACAGGAACGAAAGTCAGTGGGAAATTTGCATTCAAGATACATAATTTTGGTGTGCGAAGGGTTGCCTGTAGTGAACTTTATTAATTAATTTCCTGTTGGTCATACCAGTTACCAAAATTATAAGAGAATTATAAGAGTGTACTGTATGTAAAATAGAAGGGTTGAGCAAATATTATATAGGGGGGGGCAGTAATGACTGGAGAGCGCAGTGTCATGTGATGTTTGGAGTCTGTTGTGTTGCTGGTGGATGATGCTAGGTTATGTTACATACATGACAGGGGTAAACCAGATACTGTATATAAACCCAAATGTTACACTAGTATGAATGAATGAAGAGGAAAGGTGTTTGCATGTACGTATGTGCTCTTAATTCAGGTCACTGCATTAAGTGGGAAAAGGCTTGAGTAAAAGCAAAGTTATAATGATGCCAGTAAATGAAAATAGCCAATTCATTATGTTTTTGTAAATATCCTTTACAAAATTAAGCACTTGGAAGCACTAAATAAATGTGGTGATCACAGGTGGTGGGGGAAAGTGGTTCCTCAGCAGTATAAGGATGCGTGTTTAAGGTCAATACAGTTCTTTTTCCCCCTGGGTTATTTTTAGATTGTAAAAATGCATACTGTTAAATTCCCATACAGCATAAACTAGTACTACATTATTTACTTTGTTTGTGGCCAACCTGTATTAAATGAAAAAACTTGGGAGAGTAAGAAAAATATATCTACCCGTACATCGTATAAAGCTAATGAAACAAAATTTTAACTTTAAACACTAGTATAATGCAACAACTTTACTGGGGTTTTTATTTACTATGGATCAGATTGGAGAATATGGGCACAGGCCATCTGGTGACATTCCTAAAAGTTAGAAATACAGAAATTGTTTCCAGGTGCTTATTTTAAATTAGTTTCATATTGTAAGTAAGTGTGCTGCACTACAATGAAGATACAGTATTTTAAGTTTTCAATTAGTTCATGAAAAATATCAACAATACTTACAAAATAATGGTTTGGGGAACTTAACAGAATTTACTCCGGAGTTCACATTTAAGTTGTACTGTATTTGTTAGTTTGGTTGTTGAGTGAATGAAATAGTCACCTTCTGCTTTCTCATTTAAGAAATAATAATGCTGAACATTTTTAGACGAAGATTATTTGGTAGTATCGTATCTGTATCCAGGTACTGTTCATTACTATTTACAGTGGCAGCAGCAGCAGAATGAGAGATAGAGAGAACACAGTGAGAAGTAAGGATGTGGGGGAGGAATTTAGATCAATATGGAATCTGAAAATAACAGTGAAACTATTAGTGTGAGGCCAACTACACCATCAGCATGTATACTGTACTGTACCGGTAATAAATTTCTATTTCCTGCACGAAAAGCTGACTTATATTAAGATGCTGTTCATTTAATTGGGTTATTTTGTTGTCATCATTAGAATTGACTGGATTTTTTTCCTAACTTGTATTCAATCGGTGCCAGTCTTGCAAAACTTGCTTAGCCCCTTTGTTACAACGGCTTGCTCTAGAAGTTCAGTTGAATATGTAGTACAGTACAGTATTATCATCATACATGTGTTAGATCCACCCAGGCAGGCGGTAAGGTGGGGGTAAAGCAGAGTTGGTTAATATTTCTCTTACTAATAAACTAAAATGTACACTATTAATCCATGCAGGTGTTTGTAGGTAAAACAATAAGCTTTTGATAAGGAATGACAAATTGAGAAAAAATAACTCAGTCTTACCAACCTAGAGGTAGTATTGTGAACAGGTTAAGTCATGCATGGCTTTCACTTATATTTGATGTACGTTTGTATGCCTAATGTGTGTGATCATCTTGTGAAATAGATGTTGTATGACTCTAGTTCACCTGTGGCTACGTCATAGCACCGCTGCTTCTGGTAAATTTGTGGGATACTTTATTGCGTACAGTACTTGGTGCAGCAGTAAATATATACTGTACTGTACTGTACTGTACTTTGGGTAGAAGAAAATAAGCTGTGCTCTGTATTGTAATTGTTCCTCTTGTTGTTGTTGGGTATCACAGTAAGTTCAAGACTAGCACTTAGGATATTTGGAAGTACAGTTTTCTGGGCACTGGTTAGTCTTGGCTGTCACAGTCAGACATAACTGAAAGACATTGACTTCTAACTATTGTCATCCCTCAAAAATTTCCTTGCTTCTAATTTTTCCAAAACTATTAAATAATCATTGTTGTGTAATTTCTTAGCCTATTTCCTGAATAATCTATATGAGATATTGATATTGTGTTCCAGTAGTTTAGGTTGATCTGATGATAATGCAACACAGTACTGTACAGAGGAAACCTAATCCACTCATGCACATTCAAAGTTTTTATATATTCAAAGAAATTTTTTTTTGTAAAATGTAAGACTGTAATTTAATGCTTAGAAAAGGTCATATTTTGAATCACACCTTTCACTATCCACAGTACTGTATAGTTACTGAAATGACTTGGGACTTGAATGTCATGGAGAGTAAGTTGTATGGACCTTATTGTTCTTGACACAGCTTTTGTGGGAAAATTTTAGTACTGGGCTACAATAAGAGGACACCGTTGATTTGTTTTAAATCAGTGTAACTATTTTTATGCTAATAATGTTAAGCATACTGTCTAGGGTGTTTTTATAATGTACAGTCAGTGTCATGTTGTCCTTCAGTAAAGTGGTATTGTACTTGTTACTGCAGAATCTCTTCAAGGATGCAGTTACTGACGTTTTTGCTCATTGGTATTAACACAGCTTAAAACATCTGCATCTGTGTACATTATTTTCTTATCTACAGCCTCAAGTTTTTCTTTCCCAAAATTATTCATATTCAGTAATCATTCTTAATTTATAAAGAAAATAGAGAAATAATTTAGATTGTCATTAAATAATTTTCTTTCTCACAATGGTGGTAGCTGGAGGTGTCTCTAGATGCCCTGCTGCTGCTCTCCAAGCTGGAGTATGCCATGGGAGACTATGAAGGTGCTCTGGGTCGACTCGCAGCCGCGGGCCTTGACCAGCTGACAGAGAAGGCCCTCCCCACCAGGTCGCTCAGAATTGTGGCCGAGTCCTACGCAATAAAGGGTGGGACACACCGCTCATAAATTGTTTTGTGTTATTGCTGCTGTCAGGCTTAATATTCCATGTTATTTGATGGTTAATGGATTGACTAGTAAGGAATTAATTTCATAGCATTCCTTTAGGACCTTCATGCAGAAGATATTCATGTATACTGTAAAGTAATTTTAATTTATTAACAAATGGAATGTGAGATATATAGCAGCATGCACATGTCTGATGTACTTAGCACATTTGCCTACCTAGAATGAATATCCTGTGCAAGTGGAAGTGTATCTAACTTGTGTTTTTGTTGTCATTAACGTTCATGGAATTTTGGCATACTGTACCGGTATTTTTCTGTAATATGTTTGCATATCCCAGTACTGTACAGTATTTTGATAGCAATTCTTTTTATTTTTCCAGTAATTATGAGTATTTAACCTCTTATTTTACATATTATGATGAAAATTTTCAGAAAACCATCGACATTTTGTTATTTAGAATGCAGCTAATCCCTGACCTTTTGCTTTTGTGACTTTTATCTCAATTTTATATGTACTGTACTGAAAGAAAGTTAGTCATCTATTGTTTCTTGATAATTTCCGTCATCTCTTCAGGACTATGCTCGGCGCCTCAACCCAGAAACAGCAAGTATCATTTTGGAGAGAGAATATATTAAACTAGCTTATGTTCTAGCTTCTTCTGTGTATGTGATGTACTGATAGTCTGTGTGGCAAATAGCAAAGAGTGCTTTTTAGAAGACGTCATGTAATCCCTTGTTAAGGAAGTCTTCCATAGATACCTGTACGCTATCACTCAATCAAGGAACCAGAATAATATTTTGAATGATGTACTGACTACTGTATTTAGATTGATTATCATGGTTACAGCAACTATTAAACTAACAAGTTACAGTATGAAGTCATTAAGTTTATGTATATTTTCTTTGGAGATTGATTTTTATGATAAACTAATGGCAATGATTAGTACCTTTCTGATTACCAATATCTTCAGAGAGTTATGGAAATTTTGGTTTGTCTGGGTTCACTTTAATGAAGGGACTTGTTGAAAAAGGTGTGAATAACCATTGGAATTTGTAGACTATGAGCCAACAAAAGTAGACTACTGTATAAGGCAACAAAAATAGACTATGAGCCAACAAAAGTAGACTATGAGCCAACAAAAAAAGACCTACTTTGGATGTACTGTATACTGTATGTTGAAAGTTTTAGTTTTTATTAATAGGATATTAGAGGCCTCACCTAACTTGACCAGCATTAGGATGGACATACAGTATAGGAATCTGTATTAGTCTCTTGTTTTTATCATTAACTGAAACATTCTTACATACACTACACCCAACAAATGTATTAATTCTATGGCTTTTGTTTACGGTAGAGAAGGGGGCAAGACAAACCTTTACTGGGGAGTTATCAGAGATGTAGATATAGTACAGGGGTATCTTAGGTATCTTAGTTCTAGTAGTCACAGTGTGTAATGGATGTACTGTACATAGTCCACCAGTATATAGATATTGTAAAACTCTACTGCTCTTTCTTCCATTGTTGATAGTATTCTTGGCAATTTGTATCACTATACTTTCTCCATTAGATATTTTTTTTCTCTGTCACTGTTCTGTATATGTTGTTCCACCATTTTTCTTCTTCTCTCTGATCTCTTGATAAACTCTGTGGTGTATACATGCTGAGACTGTCAACACTTTCATTACACATTCTTGTTTCTTATTGAATCCACCTGTGATAGTTGTTACTGGGTCCTTACGTGAGTTCCAAACCATTACAGTATTCAGGATGGTGTGAAGACTTTGAGGAATATTGTTAGATCGTTGATATCTTGAACTGTGAAGGCGCTGAGGACATGTTTTGAGTGTTTTTATATTATTTCTCATGTGCCATCCTCTTGTGAATATAGAAAAAAAAGTATACCTGATCTTGTTAACTAGATAATGAAGCTTCACATCCCAAACATTGATCTTTAGTAAACATCTAGAAATTCAAGGTGTAGGTGGATAAAGTAGTGTTAACTGCATTATCTAAATTCTTATTAATAGGTCTCTGGGTACAGTATTTGGATTTCATTATGGTTAGTAACTAAACCTGATTTAAAATAGGGAATATAGATATTAAATGGGTCTCAAACAATAAACTGTACCTGTACTCACTTTCTGGTTGTGCCGCTCCTTGATATTTAAAACACTGATTTTATATTTTTGGATGTAAGATGTTCCCATTATTATTCAGAGTAAATATTAAGATTCTGGTTCCTTGGATATTTTTTTATTTTAGAATCATTACCATTGTGGTTTATTTGGGTGATGGGATTATACAGTTTCAAATAAATCAGACTTATAAATCGGAAAGTTATTATAAATGAGGTGGTAGTGTGCTCGTATCATCTGGAAGACTCGGCAAATTTGCTTGCTGTTGTACAAGGGAGTTTCAGCATGAATTGTTGCAAAACGTTGAAGTGAAATGCCGAGGTATATATTGTAGAGAGTTCCGTAGAGGTCATCAGTATTGTCCAGCATGACTTGTCTTTACCATAAGTTTTGTGTGTCTGGAGGATACAAAGAGCAATGATTCGTTTGCTTTCTTTTAATATCAGTAATGATTGCTTTGCAGGAATCAATGTCCTGATCATCAAATAGTGAAACTTAACAAAGACTTTTTTGGATTATATTGATTAAATCTGATGGTAGTTGATATAGCAGACAATGGGGATATGTGTATTTGGTAAGGATATTGAAATATTTAATATAGTAAAGAATTATTTTTATAGTTTGTGTAGTACAGTATTTTTAAATTGAATTGTTTAGATAGTTTGCACTTAGATGAGACTTTTATTCGATAGACAAAACAGTCGGTGTTAAAAATATACCACAAACAGGACCACTAAACCGTTTATTTTTCGAACGATATTGAACCAAAACTTCTGTAGTTGGATTGTTAGGTAAAGTTTGTGGTATAACTGTCCTGTGTTTGGTGCTTCACAACATTGGCTGTCTTGTGTCCTGTAAAGGGTCACACAATGCACTAGATAACCTCAACCTCCTCCTCCACCGATTTGGTTCTGAAAATTTGTACTGTATGTATTGATAATTTGACTGAAATATAATAAAGTATTGGTATTTAAGTATTTTTTAAAGTATCATAATTAGCAGTATTTTGATCGTGAAGAATTCTGATTTTCTTGCAATCCTGTTGACAACAGAATTAAAATGTCAGAGGCGTAACTTCTTTCTTGGTTATATGCTTTTTGCAACTTTTCCCTGAAAGTTGAGGGGCTCACCAGCCAGTCATGCACAAAAAAATTGTTAGCACTGCATTTGTAGAAAATGTGTTGTATATTGTATGATGTATTTTATGTTGGATAAAGTTAATGTATGTTTATGTATTTGTTGTATGTATTCAAGTACAATAAATGTGGTACAGTACTGCTTATAACTCGAAGGTGGGGGAGGTTGATTTTGGTCTGAAAATTCTAGGATATTCTGCTGACCATCTTAAAATTCAGTTAAAAAGTTGGAATAAAAACTTAGGCTAAACAAGATACGAGTAAACTTCATACTTAGGAATGTTTGGTATATTGATGCTGTTGATCAGAAGTGAGGACGACAGTGATGTTGAATTAGGGAACGTCTTCATCAGTAATTACCTGAGAATCCAGCTTACTAACAATCATGGTAGCGTGAGTCACACGGGGTTTCAGTGTTAGCTTTTTTTTTCTCAAGGCCATCAGTGATAGGTTAAACAAGGACAGACTTATGCCAGTAGCAGTGATTGCCATCTTGACATGGGTCTGTTAGGAGGTAGCAAGGCCATGAACATCCCAAATCTAGGATCTGCTATTATTTTGTCAGAAACAAAACCTTTTTACTCAATTTACATTTTATCATTCATGGAGAGAATTACATTTTATGAGGTGACCTAAAATGTAAACAAAGTGTAACCAAAAAGGTAAAATGTATAAAGTTTTCACTTTAATAAGTCCTTTAGTTTGAGGCATAAACGTTCAATATATGTATATTTGATACTGTACCTCAAAAGGGCAGCTGCATAAAGGAAAGCAAGGAAATTGGAACTTAAACAAATTCTTGTTTCATTTACATGTAGTATAATAATTAAAAGAACTGTCACTATAGGAGGCTTCTCAGATAAACTGTATCAGTGTCAGGACTGTCTTTTTATGAATCAAAAATTCTCAGCATAACCCTTGAGAAATGGGAGTAAAAAGTCTTCATTGTTGTTTCTTGCAATTAACTTGAAAATCATTGGAAAGCAAATTTATTACTCGCAAGCATATGTGAGTTTGTGTTCATGAGTGAGAGAGAGGGGTGTGTGTGTGTGAGCTTGTATTTTTGTGAGCACATGTACAGTTACATCCACATGGACGTACTACAGCCTGGGAGTGTGTGAAGGTTTGGGTACAAGATGTGGCATCACAGCACCATAGTCTTAGACATGAAACCGTGGATTACCCAGTTTGTCAGTTCCCCGTAGTTCACTCCAAGTCATTCGGTCGTTGCTACACAACAAAGCTGCATATCTGTTTGCCTCCTTTATTGTTTGTATCTTATTGCAAACAGGGTAATTTGTCTGTTTCATGCCCATTTATACAGTGCCACATCTTATACCTGAGCCTTCATACACTCCCTGGCTGTGATACGTTCATGTGGAGGCAGTACTGTATTGTATTGTCATAAAATGCACATTCATATGCATACAGTATATGTGTGCTTGCATGTGTATATGTGTTTTTCAGTTTGTAGGTTGATCTGTATTCATGTAATTATTTTAGTGGTGTAACTGGAAATAATAAGATGGGTACATCATGATAAGGTTGGTGGAACACTGGGAATGAAGGAGTGTGAGAGTGGATGTTAATTTAGATAAGTATGAGGCATCTTGTAATGTAGTTGTTAGTAAAACATTCTAGGTCACAGAACCATCAAGGTAGAGTGTAAGAAATAATAATAGGGTGATAATAAATACTACAGTATATGCAGTTGTATTTGGTAGGCATTATTATACCTTGATATATTTAATATAAATTATATCATATTGTCAAAAGACAGAATGAATTAATACTGTAATATCAAAGAGCGCTACTGTAGGATGTTCCACAAGTTAGGTGCTGAGAGGAGCTGCTTCTCTCTACTCCTGCATGATGCATAGCAGTAAGTGCATCTCGGGTGTTGATTGATAAAAGAATTATAACATAGTCTCCAAATAAGTAGACTTTTTAATTTGTTTCATAAAATAATATTGCATTTTGTGGCATGAATCAAGTTTGCTGATAGGTTATTAACTTGCTTGACTAGCCTGTTATATTAAGATACATTGAGATAATATTATAAGAGTTTGGTAATGTGAATGAGGGTATTTTGTTAAATACTGTACTGTATTTTCATGAGAATTCACTTTTTTTGTGATTGTAGGACACTAACTGCTTGACTTGCTAGGTAATGCAGGTATTGTGAATGAAGTTACAGAACAGCATTTTGTTAATTATATTTACATACAGTATTAACTTGTGTCATTGTTAATAACTTGATTTGTTAGGTGATGCAGAAGATGTGTGTCAGTAACAATATATTTATTATCTTTTGGCAATGTGAATGAAGGTATTTTGTTGATTATTTTATTTACCCAGTACTGTATGTACATGAAAGGCCATTTTTTTCACCTGTCTTACATATTATTTAGGAACCACTTTGTTATCATCATCATCAATCACACCAAAACAAAAAGCTCAGTGTTGTGCATAAATCTAAATTTTGATGAAACATGACATCATGGTTAGACCAAAGAGTGAAGACGTGTTAATACAGTACCAGAGAACAGTGCAAGAAACTGTAACCTTAGGGCTAAGGGGGTTTGACCCAGACCTTAACAAGAACTGTATTACAATGAAGGTCAGGTTACATGAACCATTAGCTAAAAAAAAAATTCATACTAGAGCTCTGTTGTTTTGGGGGTGAAATATCCACAAAGATTGTATTTTTAAGCCTCCATCTGCCACAGGGTGTTGGGAAGCACCACAGTCAAGTCTATAAATCAAACATCAACACCACATGAAGGTGAATAGAGAATTTTCTAAAGTGTAGCTCTTCTATCTGTGTAGTGGATACAGCGCTCGCTGCAAATTTTAATAAAGTGAGTCTTTGTAAATGGAGGGATGCCTGTAGTCTTATTATATTTTCTTTTATTCTGTTCACAAATGGTTTTATTGTTTTGTCTGTTATTTACCAAATTAATTATTACATACGTAGTTAATATTACAGATCATTGTGCAAATAACTTTGTTATATTTTCCTTTTTTAATGATTTTAAGTACCGGTACTTAAACAACTGGGTTCTAGTGATTATGGTACCCATTTTATATTACTGTACTGTATGCATTTATCTGTGTCGTACTTTATTATATGACATGACCCGGGTAGGTGGGTAGTCTTTGATTACCTCAGAGAGTTGTGACCCTGCCTATGGGTTGGTGTTGGGAAGAGCATCCAGCTGTAACACTTTGCTTCAATATTCATGATGGCAACCAGGTCACCAAAGCTGTGCCCATCCCTTGGTCTCTGCTGCACTTTATGGGCTGGTGCCCTGGGTTTGTGGTGGTAAGCAGGGGGACCTCATTCTGGTCTTACCCAACAGCTGCCATCAGGTACTGGTAATCACAGCTAACTCATGCAAGTGTGGAAAATGACCATAAAACGTTGATGATGGCAATATACAGGGTGTTTACGTTATCATTTTGGGCCCTTAGGCATTTGGAACATTTTATATAAACACTGAAGACAAACCCATGAATCATTTGTTGTTTTAATTTGTAAGATTCAGAACATAAAGACACATACAGTACGGTACAACAGTATTTGGTTTGAACCTCATCTTCTTGTACAGTATACAGTATTTCATTACTGTACATTTATTTCTTATATCATACTTATTTTTGATAAATGGATCATGCTATATTGTATGCAGATTTAATATTCTGTACAAAATTGTTATGTCCAGTAGTTTAGAAATACTGTATGTCTTTAGTTTATTGTTTCACTTATTTCATTATGTGGCAACAGGTGACACATTTGTTCTGTTTCTTTGTATAAGATTACTGAATCCCTGTAATACTTAGTAAATGTGGCGATATGTAATAACTGTAGTACAGTACCTGTATTTAGAACCAATTCATGTGCCAAACACTTCTTCATAAATATGATCTGGGTTGTGGGTCGAGAAAAAAAATGTGTACGAGTCTGGTGATGTAGACAGCTGTGTAAGGGTATGGGCAGCATTGAGTATATATTCTCTCTTTTTCTGGAGTAAAGGAGTTATATGTAGGGACTGTTTGTGGAGATTAAGACCTTATTATTTAATGCTTTGTACTACAGTATTACATGTGCGGAGTTCTTGCTGGAGTCAGGTTTATCTTATAATTTACCATATTGTCCTCAGTCTGTGGGGAAATTAAATTTATGATTATGCAGAATAAATAGATTGTTCGCCATTCTAGAATATGATTTTTGTTTTTAAGGTGCTACTCTGTTGATTACTATATATGTGTATAGTAATATTTTCAGGATAATATGTTGGAAATTACGGTAGTGAAAAAGTTGATCATCTTTATTTGTTACTGCAAAAATGATTTTTTGCACCTGATTATTGATGCATGTCCATTTATTCCTTGAAAGAATGGCCTCATAGTACAATAGTAGGAGTACAACAGAAACTGCCATAATGCTTGTTTCATTTTTTGAGTACAGTACCCTGTATAATGAGAACATCATATGCCTAAAGGATGTAAGGAAAGCCATGTTTATTTCTGTTTTCAAGCTTGATTGATTTTTTAAAGTTGATTTGTGTATTTACAAATAGATACAGTACTGACAAAGTTGAATTGGTATACTGTATATCAAAACCCTAGGATACTGAATTACCAGGTAGACAGTTAGGTAAATGAAACACTGTACTATAGTATATTTGAATATAGTACCATAGTTGATATACTGTATAGGATCAGTTTATACAATATTTTGGCTTTAAAAGAAAAAGAAAAAATCTTAATGTATTTCCTAAAGTGGTTACAGTCATTATACACAACAGTAAGAAACAGAACTGGCCTCTTGAGCTTATATATTGTACTGACTGGTAGAGGACCTGGCTTTATTATACTGACTGGTAGAGGACCAGGCTTTATTATACTGACTGTACATAGAGATAGAAATAATCATAGCATAATGGTCTTTTTCTATAAGTCATAGTGCTCACCCAAGAAACAATCACAGTTCACATGTATTTGTTCCTCAGTAAATCATGCACTTGATGTATTGGTATATTTGCTGTGACTAATATAGAATATGTTAACACTACCGGTATGTAAAATCCCGTTGTTTCTTGTGGTTTTTTTTTTTTTTTACCTAAGAGGAATTTCATCATCATCTAATGCTATACCTCTACTGTCAATGATGTAAATGGGATACTTTATATGACTGTTAGTCCATAGTGGAAAGAAAAAATAATTTAGGTATACAATTTATCATCTCACTTACAGTCTTAGCTATGAAATGTGTTATGACTGATTTCTTCTTATGTTGCTTGATGAAGCGTAAGGACAGCCACCTAAACTTGCCCCTCCCTTTCAGGTTTGTGCTCTGAGAAGGCCCCACTTCCAAACAACAGCAAGTTCCAGCGGGCAGAGAAAGCAGAGAAGATGATCAAGTGTTTTGAATTAGCAGGGGACCTGACTCTCCTTTACCTACAAGAACAGGATAAACTCTCCTCTACACCATCCACACATTCCTTACAGTCTTTGCCAGCATCAAACACCACAGGTAATAATCTCACATCTCTGTAAGCATTTTTTAATAACTGATTTTTTTTTAATTGTTATTTAATTATATTAGCCTAAAAATTTCAACATAATCAGTTGACATGCAAGATTTCCCCTGTTTTATCTGGACAGAAGCAGGACTTAATTTAGCAACATTTGAGTTAACACTGGTGCTTAATTAGTTGCATGTTTAAGCAGTAATTATCATCAACTGGCTACAGGACATTCTGTTCCATGGCTAGCACCTTACAGTACGTATTAGTTTTCTGGACAGTACTTCGTTTTATTCTGGACAAAGGATGGAAGTCTTTATATCTAGTTCTTCATATGATTCTTTGATTTTATTCGATGCCTGATGGGGTAGGTTAGTCATTGTACAACATGCATTTAAAGCTCTGTAATAAAAAAATACTGTGACCTAAGCAGCATTAATGCAGTCTTTAATTGAAAGGCCAAGACATCTAGAAGTGTGAGCACCCATTAAGGTAAGCTATTCCATTCGTCCACAGCACACAGTAAGAAGTTGTTTACAAGAGATAATAGGAAGAGACAGGAAAATAGAAAGTAAAAGAATAAAGAAAGGCAGAGAAAAAAGATTTGTTGGGTAATATTAGTGTAATGAAATGCTGATTCATACAGTGACCTGTATTGTCTACTAATTTTATATGTACCATAATCTCTGCCACCCCCTCAGTTGAATTGAATTAATGAGGTTTCAGTGTACATTAATTCATCTTTGGGTGAATTTTAGATAAACAGTATCCAAATTGCAGTAAGGAAAGCTGTTCACATTTGCTAATTGGTGTTTGCTCATTGTGTATGCCAGATCATGATGTAGTGTGTTGTCCATACATGTAAAATAAAGTGTGCAACATTCTTTAGCTGCAATATTATTCTTTACAGGATCAACATCTCCATTACCACCAAACAGTGCTGCGAATAAGAAAATCGGTGTAATTTTGGAAACAGCATTGCAGCGTGCACCCATCCTCCACATGAAAGCTGGTCAACTGGATAAAGCTATTAGCAGATACAGGTGTGTGGGAGACTCATTATGTTATTTTATCATAATTTTTCAAAGGGGAGTAATTATGAAACTTTTCTTAATTTTCCTCTTCCTCTTGCATCCAGAGACCATGCTGTACTGTATGTCCATAGAGGAATGTACTGCAACAACTTATTCATTCTTTTATACAACTTCAGCTTTACCTTTGTTGATACATTTTTTTTTCCATACATTTCTCAGTGTCTGTAAAAAAATGGATTTGTATCAGTACAGTATATTAATTTATACCGTGAATGTAAGATGATGTTGAGTATTTGTGTGTTTCATGAAGTGTTCACACAGGTCATATGATTTAACGTGACTGATAAACCTCTGCAGGAGCATGCTGTCAGCGGTCGAGTCAACTGCTACACAACACCTCCGTTTGACCCTGGCACGACAGTTGGCAGAAGTCTTGCTGAGAGGATGTTCTGAGCATGCTTATAAGGCTCCTAATCAGGGTATGAAATCAATAGGTAGGTAGCTTGTTTGTAGTTGAGTCACTATTACTGTTTACCTCAGGTCAGTGATAAAGGATCTGTTTGCCGTTCCTCGGAGAGTTGGGATTGACTGGACTACCCTTAACTCTTCTTATGGTATCCCTCTGGCTTGGGCATGAGGATATAGTGATCACTATATGTGTCTGTCTGTTTGTAATTATGAATTGTGTGTCTGTTGTCATAAGTTTTAATTTGCAGAAAGACATTTTGTTAAAATTTGTTTACACTTATGCTTTCCAATGGATACTGCAAATGAAGTTGGTGGTACAAGCTGCAATGTGTGTATCTATGACCAATATGTCATGGGTTCGAATCCTGCTTGTCCCAGACACAAGTTAGAAGGGTGTTATCCTGTGTGAGCCTATCATACATCACAGGTTTCCAAATGCATATTAAAAACTGTTTCATTATCCATTATTAAATTGGAAAGAGATGTGTATTGGTGTACACTACTGTACTGTACTATATGACTTCTTTTCTTTTCCTTTCTTTTTTTTTCAAAAGGATCTGTTCGTGTACAGATTTGTTTTCTTTTAGAAGAGTTGTGAAACTTAAAAAGAAAAATCAAATTTGTAGATGAGAGGTCTTTGGGCTTTGATCTATTCATGCAGAATTAGGATTTTTACAAAACTGGGAAAGAACTATTCTACTGCCCCTGGCACTCATAACTCTTTTGATTCACATTGCTTCTCTCTCCAGACCTTGGTTAAGTTTTGTGTCAGACAAGCTTTGTTATTACAGATTTAAAAATATTTTTGTTCTGCTGTATTCACTGTTAAATCCTAAGATCTGTGTTCTTTGAGGAAGTCCTTGGTCAGGCAGAATGTTGTCAATGCATTTCCTTTGACATTTTGGGTCTTTGGGGATTCTGAGAGCTCTTTTATATATATATATTGGTGTTAAATTCCTGAAGAAAATCGTTAGTCTCTGAGAAACTTTTTATTGCAGCAATATTGAACTTTGTGGGAATAGTTTGTCAGATGCAGATGGTTTATAATCAGTTGGTATTGATATAACTTAATATCATAGGCAAACAGTAACATTGTGTCACTGGTGTTTTGAATATATCTTTAGGTCTTCAACATTCTTTAGATATAGTATGTGTGAGCATATTTTTTGGCAAACATGTAAATTGCATCATCATGATTTGAATAAGAATAGGTATGTGTTATATGTAGAGGTAGCCATATATTAAAAGTACATACACCAATAAAACCACACTGCATAGAAGTGATAAAAGCTCTCCCAGGTGATACAGGAGCCACTTGGAGTTAAAACAAGTTGGATCATCATCATTTTGGAGACCTACTGATACCCTAGAGACAATAACCTTTAAATTGTGGCTAATAAATAAAGACTCAAGAAAACATCGTATATTCGTATAAAATTAAACATAGAAATACTGTACAGAACAAATTTACAGGTACAGTAGTTACATTTCTTTATCCGTGGCGGAGTGTTTAAGTGAGCGTGTAGAGTCGGGGGAGGACAGACTACCACTAATGGCAATGAATGTGCATCTTTTATGAGGACAAAGGCAATTGAGAGAATCATAGAGGTGTTGGCAGCATGAGGAGATCTACAGCGACTCGTGACGTGCTTTATGAGCGCTAAAATTGGTGCACAGTTTAAAAGAATGTCTGTTCTCATATGAAGGACATCACAGGGTTTGATATGATACATTGCTTTAAATATGAACCAGTTTTCATATTATTTAATGTTTTTTGTGTGCACTGTACTATCTTTGATTTCACTTAGTATAGTAGAATGTATTTTTATAAGAATTGTGATTTAAACTTTCTTTTTCCTGATTCCATATATCAATGTATACTGTAGTAATATTTTTGTGGTAGAAAAGGGTAGGTTTCCACTTTTTATAATGGGTATTAACCTGTTTAGTCTTTGAACCAGAAACAATTTCCCTCTCTTATAGATCTTGATATTAGAGTTTATGTTAGTGCTACTGAAGCCTTAATGTTGTTCCCTACAAGTTCAGTGCATGTTGTATAAAACTTAAACTCAGCAAAATGCCATTACAGCAGTTACTGTACCTTAAGTTACTATAAAGTAGATTGTTACAACAGGTTTATGGCGTTTATACAGTATGGGTTGTTCTCATTTATACCAAGGGGTGTACAGTATTCCTTGAAGAGACTGGTACAGTATAAACAAAAATTGTACAAAAGAAGATAGGGTTTGATAGTAAAAGGGAGGTTACATTCCCAGCCACAGCCAATTTTCCCTTTTTGATAATGATTCTGTAAGGTATTATGTTTCTATTCCTTCACTATAACAATTTTATATCTCAATACTGTATATTATATTGAGGGAACATTTTGAATAAGTGTGCCGTACTCACTCATGCTGTTTGTTGTTTTCTGCGTGAGGAGACGCTGAATTGGAGGATGTTGTACTGGTGTTTTGCCAATCAGTAACATGACTCGAATGTTAGATTGTAGATCATTTAGACGCATAGAGTGATGCGGATCATTATCAAGGAGAAATTAGTCTATGAAACTGTGGTTAGCGTCATGTCAGTAGTGCTCCACCTCCACACAAAAGTAGTTCACAAAGCAAGCTTTAATAAGTTGTGCTGTTACCAGGCTTTTGTTATTTGCTTGCCAGTGAACAGGTAGGGTATGGTGGCTAAGAATCTTGAAAGCCCAAGGATTCTGGAAATGGTAAATGAGTAATGGCTTCCTTGCAGTATGTGATGTGTAAGGTCTTTTCCCATTATACGTTACAATTGGGAAAATGAAAAATGTGATGTGGAGCAGCTTATGTGTGAGCCTTAGCCTGATGTAAATGACATTTGGAAGGTAAAAGTAAACTGGGTACATGCAAATCCAGTTCCTGTACATGTGGTATAAATGAGAGCAACCTTAATAACATGATATGTAAAACTTCAACTCAAAGATCTGCACATCGGTTATTGAATATTACTTGGAAAATACAGATTAGATGACCACCTATTAAACAGTTACTGTATAAAGTATGGACCTTCTCACAAGGTGTTGGCTGTCATTAGTGAGATTCCTAACAATAAACCTTTGTGTTACAGAGGAGAAGAGTCGCAGCAATTCAAGCCTCAAGTCTGGAGAAAGTCCCTGGAAGCCACAGCACTACAGTGGTACAAATCTTTTTGTCCCCAAGAACATCAATGAAGAAATAATCCTGCTCTTACTTATCAGGTTGTTACATCATGCCTTATCTTAAAACTCTACTCTGGCTTTCTAAGCTTGACTCATCTCTGTCCCATATTATTTCCCCCCTCCCCCCAAACTTTGCAGTTATCTTTATTTCTTGATCCACCCAACTCAAGAGTGGGAGAGAAGTAAATTTAATGGATAGAAAATTATTTAGGTTTCATTGTGGTGTTCACACAGTGCACACTTACTGTAAACTGTATGAGACATTATGGTGATGTCATTTCTTCCTGGTAGACTCTCAATAGTACTTTTAACTTATTTATGATGCCTCACTCTTCCTAGGAGCTCCTGTCTCAGAGAGTTACTGTGATATCTTGAGCACCGAGATATAGAATTTAATGAAGCTTGGTGCTGTAAGTTGATGTAGCCCAATAAGAACTGAGACGAATCTATTGTGTGTTTCTTGGAGTTGCGTCTTGTTTTTAATCTTTATGAACGAGGAACCACAGGCCCTTTACTGTCACCTTGTTGCTAACTTGTGTCTATCCCTCTTACAGTGAGGCCATGGCAGTAAGAGAAGCTGTACTGAGTCAGTCGCCAGAATTCAAGAATGCTCGAGTTCATGCCTATGACAATGCTACTGCTGTTTATGATCTTCTCTGTATATCACTGGCTAGAAGAAAACAATTCAGTATTTTGATTGAGGTAAATGTTTGTATATTTATTATTATGATAGTGATGTTTTTTTAGTGTACTATTGGATGATCTGTTATATATTGGGTTGTTTGCTCATTTTCAGGCATCAATGGTAATATAGTACAGTAGTTCTAAAACATACAGAACATATATTTTACAATAGTTTGAATGAATGATGAGAATAAAGGGTAAATGTGTGTACAGTCGGCAAACAAAATCTCAGACAACTGGGCATGAGCAGCATGACAGACTTCAGAAGGAGTACAATGGCTCTTGTCATCTCTAGTTCTTGTAAGAATGAGATTATTGTAATTTTTCAATTGTTCATGTTAGAGTCGTAATTTTTATAGATGACTAAAACACTCTGGGAAGATTGATCACACATGAGCTAAACCTCCTCTAGTTACAGTAGATATCATCTTTTGTTGACTGGTCAGGTGAGTACCACTGCAAGGTGACCCTCAACCAAACCTAAACTTCTCATTAGATTTGAGATGTAGCCCTAGTGGGACCCAGGTCTAGGGAGCCTCAATCTTAATGGGCACCCAGTTTGATTGGTGCATGTTTTAATTGTTGAATTAGTTTGGGGTCGGGTTGACTTTTAAGTTTTCTTTCTATTGTTGATGCATCTTTTATATGATAACACGCCTCTTACTTCCTGCAGGTATTTGAAAGAGCGATGAAGTTTTCCCACGAAGAGAGTCACGTGTGGCAACAGTTTGCTCTTGCCTTAGCCTGTGGTCATAAAGATATACGGGCGCTCTTGGTGTTGCAAGAAGTTAACCGTCTGTTACCTGCTGAGCCTCACTACTGTCTTCTAGCAGCCAAGATATGTTTCCAACAACTTGGCAAAGTAAGGATATGAAGAGGGAGGAAACAGTTGGTGGGAAGGAAGGAAATAGTGTAATTGCTTTAAACCTTTTTCTATGAACTCGCGGTTTTTATTAAGGGTTCAGATAAAAGTCACCGAGAGAATTAGAAGCAACGGGAATTAAGTGGGCCATAGCTGACACACACTACCATTTAACAGTGAGGACACTACAGTAACTGTGTGGTGAAATGACTAGAAATTTGTTTAAGAGATTACACTTATGGTTGGATTAATAATATTCCTCTTAATCATTAAACAAAGATTATATTTCAGGAGTAATTTGAACTGGTCCGGACGTTAATTGAATCAGTCAGTATGGTCTGCTGTCAGTTCAAAAGAAAACAAAGAGGACTTAAATATTTATTTTCCAATTTGTTACTCAGCTGATTAAAAAAAAAAATCATTCCCAAAAAGGCTGTATAGGTTTACTTTAAAATTATTACAAGATTTTTAATTTTAAGTTAGTTATTGCAGAACACTCCAATACAAGAATGGGGTCTGTCCTTTGCCAAGAAGGTACCAGTATTTACTCTCATACTTGCTTTGGCCAAGTTTACCATTGATCTATGCTTTTATTGGTATGCAAGTTGGTCATATTTTATTGTGCACCCAAAGTCATGTTTTCATTTTGAAGCTTTAAAAACTATAATTCATTTACAGACTCAGGAAGGTCTTGAGTGGGTAAACAAAGCCTTGAAGTCATCAGAAGAAAGGAACAGTGTACTTGCTGCACGCTGCCACCTCTACTACGGCTTAGGACTGACGCTTGATGCATATCAGACACAGCGACAAACCAACACCCAGGCACTGAGGACAAAGGCGCTTGAATCTTTCATCAGGTGGGTTTAGGTTTACCTGTTTGAAATCACCAGTTAAACAGAATTTCCATTAATTGGGTACTTTCTCAGCAGGACCTTACTGTATATATATATATTTGTGACTCATTTATGATACAGTTGAACCTCGATTTACGCGGTTCTCGTTTACGCGTTTGGTCATTTATGCGGTACCTTGCCAGAACCGGGATGCCCGATTTACGCGGTGAATTTACTCATTTACGCGGGAAGCGGCACAGGTAGGGTGCCCACAAGGTCGCCCAGTCATCAAAACATTACCGAGTTCTTCACCCGCCACCCACCACAGCCGGCCCAAGTCAGTGGTAGTGATAGTGAGGATATGGACTTATATGGACTTTGAGGGGTTTGACAAAGAGGCCCTGCAAGCCTCTGTGGTGAATAGTGATACAATTGATACAGGTGAGGGCCAATAATCTGCCCTCTGCCTCGGAACCAAACCCCCCATCCCCGTGTACCCAGCCATCTTTTCTACTAATGTAAGTGTTAAAAAACCTAATATTATTGATATTTCTCTTAATTATTAATTGTGTGTGTATACCATCGTAAAATTAAGATGTTATTTTTACTACAACGTAGGTATTGTGTCTGAAAAAGTGGAGTTTGGGAGTCTGCCCAGTCTCTATTTCAATTAATCCCATATGTTGTGTTATTCCATTTACGTGTTTCTCGTTTCACGCGCTACTCCGCGGGTTCAATTGACCGCGTAAATCGGGGGACCACTGTACTGTGTTTAAAGATGAGTTACTTACAGTACTTAATATCCCTGATTGTTTTTGATATGGAGATCTATAAGTGATGCTTGACATATTTCCTAAGGAGCACAGAGCATTTTATGATTAATTTAGCTGTGACTTTAGTATTGATTGCCACTGAAAATTTACACTAACTCATAAATTTTAATTCTTCAAGTAATATAATTTCATAAATGATTTTGTTAAGTGTAAGTAAGTGATTAAGTAACTAGTGGATTGAAAATTATTCTTGAATGAGTGTATATATTCTTGCAAACTTCCAGAGCTCAACAGTTAGATTCGAGTGACCACCTGATTGAGTTTTACCTCGCACTCCACTATGCACAGAGCTATCATCTTGTTGAGGCCACACACCATGTCAAGTTAGCCCTCTACCTCCGCTCAGAACACCCCCAGTCGCTTCACTTGCTAATTCTCCTTCTTTCGGCACAGAAGGACTATGAGGAGGCTTTGGAGGTAAGAATTTAGACTATGAGAAGACTAGAGGTAAGGATTATTTCTATGAGGAGATAATTGGACATGATAATTTAGTCTGTGAGGGATACATCAGCCAAGATTGATAGTGTGAGGAGCCATTGGTGTTTAGAATTTAGCCTGAGAAGACGAGCTGGTGATACGAATAACAAAAACGGAAAATACAATAAATCTCGACTGTTAGGAGACATCAGAGGTAAAGATAGATTTCAAGAACACAATGTTACTAAAGGGAAAATCAGTTATGACCAACACTGAGAGATAAGATTTGTTGGGAACTATTTTTGATGTAAAGAGAATAGTTTAGGAGAATATTTGTCAAGAATAACTATGGGGAGAGGTTGTAAGAAATGACATCAGAGATCAGAGATTGTGCAGAATGGAGAGCTGTCATCAGGTAAATATGGAAAATGGTGATGACGACAATCTGTTACAGCAGTTAGAGAGAGAGTTAGTGACAACATATAAAAGTTTTTGTGTGTCGTGTTGCTGAAAAAGGGTAAGAGATCTCAGTCATATCAAGGTAATATATAATCTAGGTACTGTTGGTTTGTAAAAAGTTCTTCATTAACATAGTTCCTTTTTCTCTCTCTCTCTCTTTCCTCATAAGATTAATTTTTCATCAGAACCCCAAATTCAGGAATACACTGACAGTAAATTTTGTAAACCCTCATTTGACTGGTGGGTCAGACTTCCAGTGGAATATATTATTTGACCTCACTCCAACAAGTACCAACTACTAAAGATGTATGTTCCTGGAGAAGGGAGATGAGATGGATTGAGTCAGTAATTCAGTTAATATGGTGTGAGAGCATGTCATATTCTCCTAATACTTTACTTTCAGTTAATGCTCTTAAAGGCAACTGGGGTCAGTATTCTACTGCTTTGTCTGTACTTTAAACCGTAAAATATATGCACAATGAAAATGTTTTCTTTCTGGAAGCTAATATGGTTGAATGTTATGGTAAGATATAGGAATGATGAGTTGTTTCTTCACCTCCAGCTGGTTGAAGCTGCCCTTGCAGAATACCCAGAGAACCTGCACCTTTTGTATGTCCGCGCTACTTTAGAAGAAGCAGTATACGGTGGAGAGGTTGCACTTCTTACTGCACGTCACATGTTGACACTCTGGCAAAAGTTGTACAAAGAACAGCTGATGAGCGACATCAGTGATGTTCAGTCTCAGCGCCATGCCAATCATGACACTTATAGCATATTCAATATGTCAGACAAAGATACAGGTATGTTTGACGGACGTGTTTTACTGACAAACATAACAGTGTGTATTATAGATCCACAAATGAATTAGCATTGTAGAGAACAACCTGACATAGATGCTAGATGTGGAATTAGATTCACCTGACTAATTACTCCTCTGAGTCCTACACCTAATGCTTTTACCTTGCTGTACTAACTTTCCTTCTTTATGGGACTATAAGTCTTTGTGGTGTTGTTGTTGTAGAGTTGTTGGTGTATACAGTGTACTGTATGTGGCCCATTGTGAGTTGTGCTGTGCTCATATACTGTGCCTCTATGTTGACTAAAAACATTCTGTAAGTAAACCATACATGTTTGCTTTACTCTCATATTCCCCCCTCGCTTAAAAATCTGTTTCATAATTTCACTGAAGGGCTGGGCATTTCCTTCTGATTGAGCGCCTGACCCTTTCCCCGCAGCCCCGACCCCTGCTGAATGCTCGGCTCCCTCCTCCATGGGACTTGTCTTCTCCGAAGTGGTGTCCTTGAACCTTAGACTTCTCTCTCCTACAATACAAATGGAAACTAATCCTGAGAAACACGGGACAAAACCCCAACTTACCCTTGACTCTCCCCCTCACCCCCCCACAGCTTCAGTACATGCGGAGAGTGTTGCGGCTTCACGAGTGGAACAAGCTTTGTCTGAAGTGGCGTCGTCACTCTCATCCTATCAGCCTAAACCAGGACCACATCAAGCGTGGCTACTACAGATACAGATCTGGCTTCTTACAGCTCAGTTATACCTTAAGTAAGTGTGAACCAAATGGTGAAATAAACATATTATGTCTTCACTTGTGTTCTTACAATCTTATGACAGGGAGAATTATGTGAATACCTTCCAAAAGTTGTTTGTGCTTAGGAATACATCTTAATAATTTTGAGATTTGGATTTTCAGATCAGGAATGAAGGTGAATAAATGGAGAGAATGTTTAACCTTCTACTTTACTTCTGGCCACTCTGCTACATATAGTACAGTACTAGGAAAAGGAATGTAAAAGTGAGAAAAAAATATCAGTTAGCCATTTAAATGTTTTTGCAATAAGGTAAAAGACTACCTGCTGTTCTTTTACCTCAATGGATTTTAAACTATTCCAACACCTTTCAGTTCGTTATCCATGGGTAGTGTGGAGGCATAAATCGGTTAATTTATGAGCCTAAGTTCAATCAATATTCTTCATAACATAATTTAAATGAGTCAACTGAAAAAGGGCATGTTTTCTTACCTGTAGCCACACATTACCAATCCTTATACACCATTTTTACCAATTTTGATGTTGTCCGATTAAAAAAATAGTGGACAAAATAACATTACAGATTTATGATTACAGACAGACAACTTTTAATTATAGATAGACAGACCTATTGCTTTATCCCCCACCCGGGCTGAGGGGACAATATTTCAAGGAGTCAGGTATGGTTTTAGTAACACAACATTGAACATTTCCTTTAAAAAATACGTGTCATGTGCATCAGGCGATAACATATTAGCTACCTAAATGGTGTTATAGTGTATGACATAAGAGCATTTTTTTTTTAAGTAGATGAAATTTGTGTTTGTCCAAGTATGAGATGATCTGAGGTTTTTTTTAGGATAGAAATAGATTAGTGTTATAAAATGTGACCCCTCAGAGAATTGATTTGAAAGTTTAAGAAATGTTGTATGACCTTCAGAATACTGTCCTTTTGCTGCAGTCCTTCAAGCTGTGGTTCTTTGTGCTTGAAGTCTTGGTGTGGTTGTTGAATTTTGATGTATTTTTGGCTATTCTTGTTACGATACAATTGTTGGGTATAGTAATTATGGACTGATATGAGAAATGAACACTATAGCATTTGAAGCACACTGGTAACATAACACATACATGATAAAGAAGTTTAGCAATATACTGTAGTGCACTGCATAAACTCTGCCTCGCCGAGTGACATCTCACAGGGAGGTGGAGGATGCCGCTGACAGTTTGTGATCTTTTTCCTACTCTTTTTATGATATTTATGTTACCAGAGCCGTTTACATGCTAATATTTACTTCCCCAAGTGTGGAGATTATCATAGATCAACACAGTGAAGTTATCATCCCTTAAAATATCAGAATGTAAATATACCCATATTGGATTTTAAGCTTTTGAGATAAAAACTTACCAGATGTATGATGTTATGAAATTCAATATAAACTGAACAATAATATATACATAATGCATGTTAGACAAAATTTAAACTAAAATATTTATGTAAAAAAAAAAAAAAAAATAATTCCCTCCTTAATAGTATATCATTTGGCAAGGTATAGGTTGTGTTGATTGTTTGTCATATGTGTAGAGTCTCTGTAGAACTTCTTTCTTGTTGTCTCTTTCCTACATGTTGTATTAACACAAGCAGAGTTAAGTCATGCTGGACACGTTATAACCAAACACGATAGTAGAAAAAAACTAACTTTGCAACATTGACAACTTTTCTTTTTCCTGTGAGCTGAGGCAGTACTAACATAGCTAGCCCCTTCACCCTCTTCCCTGTTGATGATATCTGAGTGAAAAGCATCCCTTGGGGGTTCCAGACACAGCTCTTGTGAGGGAATGGCCTAACACATTTCCCTCACTTCCTTTTCTTTTGCTCTTTGATATCTAACACTCATCCTTCCTTACTGCATGTGTAAGGAAGATAGCTGTGCAGTAGTATATGTTGGATGAAGGTGTTAGAGAATGCAGTAAGGAAGGGGCTCACTTATCTAGATGCAAGTTTTGTCATGTTTCTGTCTCAACTGGACCTGTACACCTGTGGAAGAAAAGTCTGATATATAGGTACTTCAAATATGACGACTAATATGAAATTTCTCTTTGTGCTTCAGGACAGATCAAGTGATTGAGGCTGCTAATTGTCTACAAGAAGCTTCCTCCATCTTCCCAATGAGTCATCACATAATGTTCATGGTAAGTATTGATTGCAGGTCATTAGGTATTTGTCTTACTAGGCTTCAGCTTACCCTAATCACTAGGACTGGGACCCATTAGAACAGGGCCTTAATTCTATCTTCAATATTAGGTTAGGTTGGGACCCATTTGGACTAGTGTTTTAACTCCTTGTGTATGGGGTCCCTTTGAGCTGAATAAAATCGTTTGGCTTTAGCTAAATAAAAATCCAAAAGTGGCATCCCCTTAGTGAATGGGTTAATCGTGAATAACGGACAAGGTTGATGATCTGTATGTATGTCGTGGTACAGTTGTAACAGTACTGGATAGCGAACCAACAGGGAACTCTTTTCTGCTTATTGTTATCTTATTTGTCTTTGCTTTGACATTTATTGGGTGGATCAAATATAACACACCTCAGAAATAGGAGGAAATGCTACTGGAGAAAGCTACAAGAATAGTGTAGGGAGTGCTTAGATGATGTTAAGGTACATTTGTGGTTCACTTGGTTCACTTGCATCATGAGCAGAAGAGCTTTTAGTACACTCCCAGTGTCATAGTTTGTCATTGTCACTTGTATAAATAGTGTAAAGTTTTTTGTGTGATGTAGTTATCAGTATAACAATATAAATTATAATATTGTACAGTATTTCTTAAGTAAAATACACATTGCCTGAATGAAATCAGTAAATGTGGAGATTTTTTTCTCTATCAAATAACTGGGTAATGTTGGTTGTGTGTGTCTCACAGAAAGGTCTGCTGCATGAGAAGAAGAATGAGTTCCATGAAGCCCAGATGTGTTATCAGAACGCCCTGGCAATTAATCCCTACCACTTGAAGAGTCTTCGTCATCTGGTGAGTACAACAGTAATGTGTTTTTCCCAGAATGCTTCTTTTATGATATGTAAAGGAATCTTACCCCAAGAAATATATTGGGCTAAGAGATAGAAGTGAGGAAAAGGAACTCACTGATGCAATGTTCTGTACTATAATCATGTATTTCAATTATGGTATCATATATACTGTAATTATATGCATTTGTGTACTGTAAACACTAAATACATACAGTATACAATACAGTATTTGTGGAGTATGTATACGCTATATATAATGCTATATAATATACATGTATTGTACTATATATAGGGAAGGAATGTATGAAGGGGAGGGAAGTATCTTGGGTACAGTATCCGTTTCTTGCTTTTTCATTCCAATGGACTTTTTTTTCATCTTGAGGATATACGTTGTGTTTGTACTAAATTATATACTGTATAGTAATTAATGGAATAATAATGCTAATACAGTACTGGAATAATGGCAACACCAGAAACATTCACTGTGGGTATTTGTAAATGTCTCCCCAGCCAATGTTCAAAACCTTAATTCCTAACTGTGGCAGAAAATTACAGTCTCAAGGCAGAGGATGGCTGGAAGCATGCACTACTGTACACACTCTCATATATTCCCTTCATTCATTGTCAATCCGTCTTTCACTTCCTAATTAAGCTCCTTTAACCAAGAATAGATACAGTAACAGAAATACCATTATGCCACACGATTTAGTACCATTATTGTCACACATGTTGGTGAACATCTGGACACACCCACCTGAGTCCTGATGCCTTTGTCCTGGGTAATCAAAGGTTTAATTAAGTTTTGGATTTAAGCTCGACAATTGTAGCACCATTCAACATGATCAAGCGATGATTTAACACGAGATAGGAGACGAAATTGGGTATAGTGTCGTTTATAATTATTGTTTATGTTAATTTTCTTTTGGGTTTTAGTGTAAATTTTCAAGATAAAAAGATCCTCTGTGTAAATGTGAATATTAATTTTGTATATAACTTAAATCAACCAATTTCGTGCATTTTTACAACATCTTCAACTTCCCGGATTCATTGACCGTACGAACCTTTGTGGATGAATCCGAATCCCGGGTTTTATTTTCCTCGGTTACAAAGGGACTCGTTACATCATTAAGGAACTATTACCTGTCAGCGAAGGGTCTTTATTTCCCGGCCAAATTCCCAGATCTTGATGGAACGAAGCTGTGCAATTAGACGGGTGGTTGTGATGGTAGGTAATTTAATGGCGATTGGTGAATTACGATAATGTGTGGGTAATTAGGTTTAATGACTGTGGTTCTTTGATGGTGGTTGGAAGTTACTCTGGTGCCTGGTAGTTGAGAGGGTGTAAGTGCACTTGTCATCCACATTATGATTCATAAATTGGGCGTTAAAATTGTGGGGAGCATAGTGGTTGGTCTCTCTCTCTCTCTCTCTCTCTCTCTCTCTCTCTCTCTCTCTCTCTCTGTCTCTCTCTCTGTCTCTCTCTCTCTCTCTGTCTCTCTCTCTCTCTCTCTGTCTCTCTCTCTCTGTCTCTCTCTCTCTCTCTGTCTCTCTCTCTCTGTCTCTCTCTCTCTCTGTCTCTCTCTCTCTCTCTCTCTGTCTCTCTCTCTCTCTCTCTGTCTCTCTCTCTCTCTCTGTCTCTCTCTCTCTCTCTCTCTCTGTCTCTCTCTCTCTCTGTCTCTCTCTCTCTCTGTCTCTCTCTCTCTCTCTGTCTCTCTCTCTCTCTGTCTCTCTCTCTCTCTCTGTCTCTCTCTGTCTCTCTCTCTCTCTCTGTCTCTCTCTCTCTGTCTCTCTCTCTCTCTCTCTCTCTCTCTCTCTCTCTCTCTCTCTCTCTCTCTCTCTCTCTCTCTCTCTCTCTCTCTCTCTCATATGTAGATAGAGACATATTGATAAATGGGGATGGATAAGTAGACAAATTAAATAGATAGATGGAAAGATAGGATCAATAGACACAAACACCCGGACGTAACAACAGTATATAGTATGCTGCTGCCAGTGGTAACGGCTTCGACGGCAGTGGTGGAGGTGGCAGCGGAGGGTGTGTGTGTGGCATTGCAGGGTGTGGATGGTGGTGCATGTGTGTGGGTAGTGGTGGTGGTGGTGGTGGGACGCAGGTGTGTGTGTGTGGGTGGTAGTGGTGGTGGTGGGACGCAGGTGTGTGTGTTCCCGACGGTAAATCCGGACTCTTGATTTGGTCTCGAAATTCGCCCGGTGCAGGGGAACACGGCCGCCTCCCCTATTTATAGCGGGGACAAAGTGACCACTGAGGGATGACTCTGCTCTCTTCATTGATCCTCCACACTTCTGCAGTACTCGTTCATTATATTATTTGTTTATTTATTGTTGTTTGTTTATTGTTATTTGTTTATTTATTGTTGTTTGTATGTTTATTTTGTTGTAATATGGGATTAGATAACATGAGAAACTATCATCTATTCTGACTTTAAATCCTGAATCCATCATCCAATCTCAAGAGGCTCAAGTCCCTATTGAGCCTCAACCCAACCTAATCTAATCTTGCTTCATATCTGAGGGTTGGCGACCACAGTCCTTCTCTCTATCTCAGTCTCTACCTTCCCTTAACCTTCCTACCCTCAACTTTGCCCATTAATATCTCGGTTATTATTTCCTCATCCCTAATTATATGACCAAGTATCTCATTTTTCTTTTTCTGTACATTTCAAGTATTTATCTTGAAGTTTTTGTTTATCTTAGTGTTTCTTCATTTGTTTTCCTGTCAGCGTAGATTATTCTTAGCATTTACTTAAAACACCATACAATTCAAAGGCCTCCAACCTCTTTCTGGTGTCTGCTGAAGTGTCCAGCTTTATGACCCATACATCAGTGCTTGCCATATAAAGCCTTTCAGCAGCCTTTTTCTCAAATTAACTTAATGTATAACCATTTTTTTTACACCTCTGTTTTTGTTTTATGCTGAACCGGTGTGAATTTTTTGAACGATTTTAATGAACAAATATCTGTCTCTTTATCTATCGTAAGGTTGTATTAATCCTTGCTGAGCCGCCATAGATCCGTTGTTGTGATTTTACTCTGTGAGAATATGTTGAGGAATTGTTTATATAATCTCAGATATCAGAAGGGTTTAAGTGACTGACATCTGGTTGTGTGAGTCTCCAAATATAACATGTACAAAAGCAGGTGGCGCCCCCTACATGACTCAGCGTGTGTCCACTACAATCTGACAATTAACTCCACCAGCTAACTTCTCCACCTACTGTGTCTCAACTTCTATCCGTCGCCATGTTAATATTTCCCCTCTAGCTGGTTGATGCGATAAAACCTGCCTCACGGAAACTAAAAGAGAGAGAGCTTTTAAGAGCCCAGGGACCCGGACCTTGGCACCTGCTGTCACTAGCAGGTCCTATTAACCCTTTATGTAGCAGTGCCACAAGTAAGTGTTGGGGGGAGGCTGTTGGAGTTACCGTGTTTGAGGTCACTGGGTCATTACACACACACACACACACACACACACACACACAACTTATTATGAGCACAGGTAACTTGTAAACTTTAAAAAAACGTTTATTGTAATTTTTGTGTGTGTGTTGTTATTACCTCAGAATTCCTATTAAACAAGTTCATTAACAGATGATGTAAGACTGGAGTAACTCGTCGGGTGATTTAGTCAGTGCATAAAGTTTTAATGATAACTGCATAATGAAGGGGAGTGATGAGGGGCAGCCGTGAGGGGGAGGTGGAGGCTGTCATTACGGCGCGCCTTGGTCGAGGGTAATGGGGCGGCCGACGTTGTCACAGTGAGGTGGGGGATAACGTTGTGCCCGGTAGCCCTGCTCACCCAACCATGCCTGGCCCGGCCTAGCTAAACTACCTGCTTCACCTTCCCATTTTCAAATAACCTTTTACATCTCTGGAAATAAAACTTTTAAAGCACATTAGGTGAGGATTTTTATAGTAAATATTTAGATAATGGAGCAGTAAATATGAATCACCTGAAGATTAGATACCCCAATATATTTCACCTGAATATTAACCACACTAACCTAACCAAAACCAATCCAACCAAGCCTAGCCTAACCTTGGATAACCCTGTTTATTAATAGGACCACACACACAGGACTAAGTAAAGAGTGTGTGTCCGTTTGGTGTTGCCTGTAGCCGTGTATCGGGTAATCAGTGTGTGGCGGCTGACCTTGGTGGTAGTGGTGGTCGTTGTTGTTGTAATTATTATTTTTTTTATTCACCGTATCGTGTTTGTTTATGTCTGAGGCGCTAGACCGTGTATAAATATAAATATCTGGTGAGTGTACGTGTATGTGTGTGGGTGTGTGTCCTTGAATAAGTTTGTATAAAATTTTTGTAAAGCTATTTGCCTACGTGACATGTGTACCTGTGTATACATAGTGTGTGTGTATAGCTCTGGTTAGTAATGTGTGCCTATTGCATGTGTAATTTGTATTGTATGTTTGTTTAGTATGTATCTTTGGGAAGGTACACATATATTGCATGTCCAGGTGTGTAGTATTATGGTGACCTAAGAAGCAGAGGTGTGTGTGTGTGTGTGTGAATGAGTGGAGAGCACGACAACCAGTGACTGTTAGGGAAGGACCTGGTGATGATAGTCTCTGTGAAAGTGAACACCATAACAGAACACATCTATTACAACAGTATGAATGAATGAATATAGGCGAGTCAAAAGCAGGATTGTGTCTCTGTATTTAATATTGATTTTGGCTACGCTGCACTACAGGGAGTAAACACACATGCAGACAGAGGTATAATTCTGTGTACTTGTGAAGGTGTACCGTATAATGAGGTGTACAGTTTGTTTACTGGCGTGGGTGTTGTCTTTGTACACACGTTGATGTAGTTTCTGTGTAGACCTAAGGGTGTAGTGTGTGTGTACTGGAGGTTTGTGTTTGTACATGTGTAATGATGTAATGCATACACCAGGGAATAGTGCTTGTATGTATAGTGTTAACAACGGAACGTAGCTTACAAGGGTGTGTTGTGTACAACCAAGAT